CAAGAGCAGTGTGTGGGTGAGGGGGGGCAGTGTTTCGATGTGATCTGGTTATGTTGTGGTTCTGTGACTGCTGGTCTCGGTTTCTGTATGGTTTAAAAATATATATAACAGTTGAAGTAACTAGTTAATTTCGATGTAAATCAATTAAAGTTAAATGATAATCTAATATTTTGAGCAGTTTTTGTGTGTTTGGGCAGGTTTTGGACTGGAACTTTTGGGCTGCAAAGTCAGCAATATCTGGCAACAATGCGTAGGGCTGCATTTTGTTTGTAAAACAAACACTACGAGGTGGTATGACGCCGTTCCATTTCGTGCGTAGCAGCTGACTGCTTACCTCCTAATGGACAGCTTTCCCGCTGTTACCAGTTTGTCTATTTAGCTCAACATTTAAGTTCGTGGACTTAAGACGCAGAGATTCTATTTAATTCAAAACATCTTATATCTATGGCGCTTTTACAATATAGATTGTGTCAAAGCAGCTTCATATAGATGATTATAGTAAATTGAAACAATGTCAGTCCAGCTTTCAGAGATGAAGTTCGATTTAGCTCAGTTCAGTGTGGTTTAATATTCACTGCTGAGAGCTTAAACACTGAAGAGCAAATCTATTGATATGCAGCTCTATGGATCCCGAATCATGCAAGCCAGTGGCGGCAGCGGCGAGGAAAAGACTTAAGCAAAAGTAAAGAATTAAAAACCTTGAGAGAATCCAGGCTCAGTTGGGCATGACCATTTCTCCCAAGGCCAATTCTCTTGTGCAGAGCTGGCTCCGGAGGCTAGAGAGCGCTGGATGTCCATCGGCTGGTGTACAGGCTGTCGCTTCAGGATCAATGAGGAGATGACCACGACGACAGGGTTTGAGTTCGGTGAAGAACGGTTCCAGAAAGCAGGTAAGACAGAATCAATAAAACAAAATACACTAGTAAAAAACAGGGTGAGAATATGGTAAAAGTCAGACGAGGGCTTTTCTTTTTCTGGATTGCTTTTTAAATTTGGATTTAGGGAAGAAGGAGGGTGGGTCAGTAGATCGGTCAGTCAGCGGCCTCTGGTGGATTTACTTGAGAACAGCAGACATTAATGGCACTTGTATGAAAAATTTGAGATCTCAAAAAAGATCTCTCGTATACAGTGGTCTCTAGTGGATAACAAATCCAAAATCTGCAAAATAAATAAATAAATAGCTCCTGGGACATATTTGGCAGTCTCCAGATTTGTATATAGAGGTACGTTTTCAGATGGAGACAGGGTGGATTAATAGGCAGCTAATTAGTAATTTATTAAGCTAGTCGTGTTAGTTTTTTTTTAATTAATTGTGACCTAAAGTGTTATCACAACTGCTTTTTAATTCCAAAACTTGTATAAAATTCTAAAACTTGTATAAAAAATAGGATCTGTCTGTGGGTACAAAATCAATCAATCAATCAATAAATCAATAAATCAATAAATCAATCAATCAATCAATCAATCAATCAATAGACCAATCAATCAAATCAAAGAGCATCTCTAATTCATTCTTATGCATAAGAGTTTCTGATGTAAACATGCTGCACAGATTGTTTTGCTTGCTTAATTACTGATGTCTTTGTACAATCATCTTTCTTTTCTTTCATTTCTTTTCATCATTACAGACTTCTTGAAAAATCAGCTCGGCCAATAAAGACAATAATGGGCTCTCCCTTAGCTCAGATTTATGTGTTTATCTTCGCTTATGTGTTTAAGTTAGCAAAACTGTACTGGGGCCGATCATTGCAGACATCATGCGAGAATATGCTCAATGGCACATATAATCTAAAAACAGCAGAGTGCTCCCTCAAAAGAGTGAATGCAAATAACATGTTAGAGCGAGATGGAATAGCAAAAGTGGGTTTGCTTACAGGCTTCCAATATATATCCTCCTACTCATGGGCGATCAATGCAACGCTTACAGCTTCCACGCTGTGTGCATCATCCTGTTGCAAAGCAAGTGCCAATACAGTCAAAGTTGAAACTATGCCAGCGACAGGGTTTGCGCTGTCTTTGTTTTTCATTAAGGAGAAATTTTGGCAGTGATTTATTGAATGGATCTTAAAATCTATGCGAGTCTGACAGGATAAATAATTTGGTGAATGCAACATCCAACAAATCTAAGGTCCTGAGTATGGTTATGCTTTGTGTTTTTTTTAAATACATATATGCATTTCAATATTTTTCAATCTGGACTTATCTGTGTAATGTGATGCATATAAAGCTGTGTTTTGGTATTTCTTGCTAAATAAATCTAACACAAGCTAATCCCCATAGGCTGGATTTGATGGAAAAGATGATGTGCAGGTTATTAGGTGCAAATAGCCTTTCTCCTGTTTTATTTCCTTCGAGAACCACTATAAACACACTTTGATCGCTCCTTAATGCCATTAGAACTATAATCTATTTCCCAAAACAGACAAGAATGGTTCAATAAACCCATTCACATGGCTTAATTTTAACAGTGCTGATTTAAAGCTCTGTATTTCAGCAGATGCCTTGCACTGAAAGGGAACTGGATATTGTCCTGCGAAATGTATAAAGTTCTTTATTGGCATTGGTGATTCTACAAACTATAAAATAATCCACCTTTCCAGTCCAGAAAAATATATTTTTTAAAGTAGATATTATTATTATTATTTAGATATTAAAATGCTCATTACATTAAGTTACTACAGTCTTTGGCGAACAAAAAATGGCTCTTCTATGGCATCATTACAAAAACTACATTTTTTAAAAACTTTTTTTAAAAGTAATAGTTCACTCAAAAAAAAAAAAAAAAAAAACATTTGTCAACATTTACTTACCCTTAAATTGTTACAAACCTGCTGGGGTTTCTTTCTTCTCCTAGACACAAAAGAAGATATTTTGAAAAAAGTTGGAAACTGGTAACCATGGTCTAGATTGGACATGCGATCTGGAAGTGCGATTATGAACATCAATATAGCTGCATTTTTTATGACACTGTATAACAATAATTTCTATTTTTACAGTACTTTGATGGTTGGGTTTAGGGTTGGGGTGGAAGTAGACATTAAAAGTTTTTTAAAAAAAAAATATTGGGTAATTTAATAGATAACATGAATAATACTCGGAACAACTAGTGTTTTTACATTATTGTGAAGGTTGAGTTAAGGGTTGGGGTGGGGCTAGACGTTGATAAAATACAATAAATTGAAAATTTTAGAAATAATATAAATAATTCTAGTTTACTTCCGGCTGCAAACGTGTCCAATCTAGCAACAACTGGTAACCATTGACTTCAATAGTTTTCCTGGTTACCCGTTTTTAACATTTTTCAAAATATCTATTTTTTGTGTACTGTATGTTCAACAAGAAACTCATAAAGATTTGAGTGAACTATCCCGTTAGAGTGAAGAATAAAATTAAAAGAGGTAGTAACAAATTAAAATGACTTCATTACATTTACTTGAGTAAAATTGTTGGGTCACTTTGAAAACATTTAAAGATGTGTACTTTTACTCTAGTAAATGTTTAAATAAAAAACTTTACTCTTACTTTGCTACATTTGGCTGTGCTCCTCCGTTATTGTCAAATGATTCATATGACAACATGAATAATTGTTTTATCTAATACTTTTAAAAGATACTTTTACTTCAGTAAAACTTTTCCTCAAGTACTTGTAGTTTTTTACTTGAGTATAGTTTTTCATTCATTCATTCATTTTCTTGCCGGCTTAATCCCTTTATTAATCTGGGGTGGCCACAGCAGAATGAACCGCCAACTTATCCAGCAAGTCCGGGAAACCGGAGCACCTTGAGGAAACCCACGCAAAGGCAGGGAGAACATGCAAACTCCACACAGAAACGCCAACTGAGCCGAGGTTCGAACCAGCAACACAGCGACCTTCTTGCTGTGAGGTGACAGCACTACCTACTGCACCACAGCCTCTCCCCGAGAATAGTTTTTATGTACTCAAAAAATTGTTATCGTTAAGCATTACTTTTTTGAATTATGAGATTTTGATACACCGATATATAATTATTCATTAATTTTCCTTCAGCTAAGTCTCTATTTTAGAGGTTGCCACAGCGGAATAACCCACAAACTATTTCGGCATATGTTTTACTCAGCGGATGCCCTTCCAGCTGCAACCCGGTACTGGGAAACACTCATACACACTCATTAACATACACACTCATACACTACGGCCAAATTTGTTTTATCCAATTCACCTATAGCGTATAGGGAAACTGGAGCACTCGGAGAGAACCCCATGCCAACATGGAGAACATGTAAACTCCACACAGAAATGCCTTTTGGACCAGCCAGAACTCGAACCAGCGACCTTCTTGCTGTGAGGTGACAGGGCTAACCACTGAGCCACCCCACACCAATATAACATTTTAGTAATTATATTTAATAATATAATATATATCCTACAAAAACTTTATCTAATAATAATTTACAATATTTATATTGATAATAATATATTAATAATATTTAATAATTTATTTCTTTTAAAATATGTTTTTCTATTTAGGTATTTGTTACTCTTTCATGTATTTTTGTAAACATCTTTGATGTAAACATGTTTGATGTATCCCCTGCTACTAATGTAAAAAAGAGAGAACAACACATTCACAATTCTTATTCAAATTATAAATCTATTATTTATAATACATATAAAATATACAGACCAAAAAAATTAATTACGAGAAAAAAGTTCCCACTCAACAATTAGTTAATATACATTATTATTATTACAATAATTATTAATAATAACCATATAGCCTATTATTATTATTATTATTATTATTATTATTGAACGACTAGTACTCGTCATTGTGTTGACTATCCAACAGAAAGTATTAGAGCACTATTGTTTCTATACACAGATTATAAACAAGCATTCAGCTATCCACTTAACTAAGTTAACGGCGATGACATCACAGAGGCTGTTGTAGACGCGCTTGTCTTCGGAGGAGCAGTAATGATCAGGCATCAGCCGCTGATACACCGACACCGCGCGTCTCCAACTGCTCTCCGTCTCGTGGAGTTTCAACGGCATTTTATGGGGGAAACACTAGATGCAATGGACGAAATATACAGTACGTGTGGATTACTTCTTCATTTAGACGAGTAGGCTATTCTTTTGCGGCGATGGTAAGTAAGCCACTTCAAATTATGGCAAAGTTGGTTGCATGCGTTTCTTTCTTGTTTTCGTGACAATAGAAAGAGAAGTGTTGGCTACAGTATAAGCTATTTTAATCCGTGGTGATATCTGTACAGTTAGGATGACCTGTATAAGACGTCTGCTCTTAGCCTACTTGCGTTGCTTATTTACTTTAACAAGGAGATTAGAGGGACAAACTTCCACGTATCATTCTGTGTAAGGCAGTTGTCGGATTTGTCGTAGTAACTTTACCAACTCGTGGATGCAATCCAAATAACCTTCAAAATAAATTGTAGTTAAATATATAGTTGACAATATATTTTTGGCTAATATTTAAAGTGTTAAATTTGTTGTGCCAGTCAATATATAAAAACACTTTAAAATGTTTACTTTGCATTAATAATAATTTACATAAAACTATTCTGAAAAACTATCTATCTATCTATCTATCTATCTATCTATCTATCTATCTATCTATCTATCTATCTATCTATCTATCTATCTATCTGTCTATCTGTCTGTCTGTCTGTCTGTCTGATTTTATTTTAAGAAACTAATAAATATGCCCATTACTACAGATTCATTTCCAAGCGAAGACAATTGATTGTGTTAATGCTGTAAAATTTTTCAGAAATATTATATAAACAATAGTACAGCAGCATGCAACAAAGGAAGTACAGCAGCATGCAAATAAAGTGTGGATCAGCACTCCATTGAGTACTTAAAAAAAAACAAAATAATTATAGACAATTACAGTTGGATAGCCTATAATGATTGTGAGCAAATGTACAACTAAGTTTGGACAATTTCAAACTCGCAGTAATAGTTATTTGATTTAGCGTTCATGCTCACAATATCATTTTAGTTTTGTGCAGCTATAAATTGGCTACTTGTGTATTGTGTTTTCAATTCAAATGCATACAGTGACTTCAGTATACTGCTTACATGTCTTAGGCATGCCATATCAATACTCTATGAGCACTTCTCCATGAAATCCTTCTAATTTCATTAATGCTCATTGAATACTTTCTGATGCTTCAAAAATGTTGTTCTTACTGCAGCAGTTATTAGAAATAAGTATTTCACATGGTTGTCTAATCATTTAGTTTGATTTCTTAAACGTTTTCTCCCAGGCATCAACTGATGAATCACTGATATTTATGTTAATGTGACATTTATTTTCATCCACCTGTTGCTCTGTTTTTTTTTCCCAGTCCTCTCTGAAATCACCTGTAACAATGGGTAAATCCTGGACTAACCATCTTCTAGTGCTCTTTATGTGGATATGCTTAGGTGCCCAGCAAATGGAAGATGCTTTGCCTTTTCAGTTTACTTATCCATTTTATGATGTGACGATATATGAAAATTCAGCAGCAAAAACTTATGTTGAAGGCCCTATAAAAATGGGAATTTTTATGACAAATCAATCTGTGGACATTTGGTACACAATAGAATCTGGAGACCATGATAATTTATTCAAGGCTGAGACATATGTCTTGGGTAATTTCTGTTTCTTGCGAATAAGGACCAAAGGAGGCATTTCTGCCTCTCTTAACAGGGAAATAAAAGACCACTATCTACTGACTATAAATGCTATTGAAAGACACACTGGTGCAGAGGCACAGACGCAAGTAAAAGTACAAATTCTGGACATGAATGATCTCAGACCTCTTTTCTCACCGACTACATATAGCTTCTTTGTTCCGGAAAACTCTGCAGCCAGAACAAGCATAGGCAGAGTTTCTGCCACAGACGCTGACACAGGCACCAATGGAGAGTACTATTTCAGCTTCAAAGAGTGGACTGACATGTTCTCCATTCATCCTACTAGTGGGGTTATAACTCTGACAGGCAAGCTGGATTACTCCGAGATGGCTCTTTATGAGATTGATGTGTTGGCTGTGGACAGAGGTCTGAAGCTCTATGGGAGCAGCAGCAGCAGTAGCACAGCAAAGCTAAAGGTGCATGTATTGCAGGCCAATGAACATTCACCTGTTATAACTGCTGTCCCTTTAACTCCTTGGAACACAACCAGCGATCCCACATATGCGCATGTGACTGTGGAGGATGCAGATGAAGGGCAAAATGGTGAAATTGCCTCTCTGAACATTGTAGCTGGAGATCCACTTCAGCAGTTCAAGACCTTTAGAACAAATCCTGGAAGCAAAGAATACAAGATCAAGGCTGTCAAGAAAGTGGAATGGGAGGGTTATAGTTTTGGCTACAATCTTACATTGCAAGCCAAAGATAAGGGAAATCCGCCTAAGTTTTCCTCAGCGATAGTTGTGAGGTTGGGATCACCTAGCGAATACACAGAGATTCCTAGATTCGAGAAAAGTATTTATAGAGTTACCCTAAGTGAGTTTGCGCCACCTCACTCTCCTGTTGTTATGGTCAAAACTGTAGAGAAACATTCAAAGATTAATTACTTGTTAGAATTTAAAATGCAACAACACGATAATCCATTTATTATCAATCCAAACACAGGCCTTATTTCCACCTCTGGACCTATTAAAGCAGAAAAGGTTAGTCAATATGAATTTGAAGTTGTTATTAGTGACAGACGAGCATCGACAAAGGTGGTAGTGAGTGTAAGTGATATGAACAACAACGCTCCAGTGTTTCAAAAGTCAAATTACGAAGCAAGTATTGCTGAACATGTGCCTATAGGAACCAGTGTCTTAACAGTCAGCGCTACTGACATGGATGATGGAGAAAATGGCTATGTCACCTATAGTATTGTCAATGTGAACAAACAGCCCTTCGTAGTGGATTATTTCACCGGTGTCATAAGCACCACCGAGGATCTAGATTATGAGACCATGCCAAGTAAATTCTCCCTCAGGATTCGAGCCTCAGACTGGGGCTCCCCTTTCCGCCGTGAAGCCGAGACTATTGTTTCAATCTCTCTCACTAACCTAAACGATAATAAGCCACAATTTGAGAATATCGACTGTGATGTTAGAGTGCCAAGATCTCTAGGGGTCGATGAGCAAATAATAGTGGTGTCTGCCATTGACGCTGACGATCTTGGTGTAGTGCAGTACAGAATTGACACTGGTAATAACATGAATCTTTTTAAACTGGATTCCACCTCTGGTGTGCTGGCGCTTAAAAAGACACTGAGGGATGGTGATGCTGTGAAACAATCGTTCCACCGTCTGCAAATAACTGCCAGCGATGGAGAAATCTCAAGCACTCCTTTGTTCTTAAATCTAACCATTGTTAATGCTCCAAAACATGTCCGCTCTAAATGTGCAGAGACTGGCGTTCTGAGAACTTTAGCTGGGCTGTTGCTTTTCGGCTCTAAACTAGACAGTCAGAAAGAAACAGAGGATGAATTTGCAGACATGCATTCTGTTAACCGCCATGCTCCACGGTTTATAGAGTCCACTCCAGCTGTAATAGAAGTTAAAGAGAACCTTCCTGTAGGGACAAGCGTGGCACTCCTCAGAGCTGCCGATTCCGACTCGGGCTTCAATGGGAAATTGCTTTTTGTGATCTCAGGGGGAGATTTTGATAGTTGTTTCACGATAGAATCTGACACAGGATGGCTTAAAGTTTTCCAGCCACTCGATAGAGAAACAACAGACCGCTATACTCTCAAAATCACCGTTTATGACCTCGGCTTACCGCAGAAGTCCTCATCTCACTTGTTAGATGTCAAAATTTTAGATGCCAATGACAACAGTCCTGAGTTCCTCCAGCGCAAGTATATAGTAGATATAAGTGAGGACACGGCTATAGGAACTGATATCATTCAACTTGAAGCGAAAGATAAGGATTTAGGGGTCAATGGAATGGTTAGATACTCATTTCTCACTGAGACTGATAAATTTAACATTCATGAAGAAACAGGGATTGTAAGTGTTATGCGTCTTCTAGACAGAGAAGCCAATCCGGTATTTGTTTTGAGAGTGGCTGCTTTCGATGCAGCAATTGATGAGCCTAAATTAGTATCAACAGTGTTGTTACGCATTAATTTGGAGGATGTGAATGATAATCCCCCTATGTTTGTTCCTCAACATTATCACATTCGAGTGAGAGAAGACATTCCAGTGGGAACTTTAGTGCTCTGGCTTGAAACTCACGATCCTGATCTTGGCCTGTCTGGACAGGTGAGATACAGTCTAACAGATGGGGACGACGGAAACTTTCAGGTGGATAAAATGTCTGGAGCTGTGTATGTCTCTCAGACTCTTGATTTCGAAACAAGACAGATATACAATCTGACAGCAAAGGCCAAAGACAGAGGCAGGCCAAACCCTTTATCCTCATCCTGCTTCATTCAAGTGGAGATTGTGGCTGTCAATAAGAACATGTACCGTCCAAATTTCCCATTTTTTGTGGATTGGGGAACTGTGCTTGAAGACGCCTCAGTTGGCACCTCTGTATTGAAAGTTGCAGCTCATGATGAGGACAGCGGCAGGGATGGAGAAGTTCGCTACTCCATACGAGGTGGTTCAGGCCTTGGAGTGTTTACCATCAATGAAGAGAGTGGTGAGTTTTTTGTAAGCTATTTTGCTTTTCTAAAAACAAAAAAAGTGAGTCTTGTTCAGTTGTCCATTGACATGCCATTCCATTTATACAAACACGTAATTAGCACCAAGGTATCAAGTATTAACAAATCCAGACACCAAAACATCAAACACACATAGACAGGCACACATACAGCACACACCATGGAGGCTAGTAAATTAATAATGAAAAAATAAATTATCATGCAATAAATAAATATATATTATGCGTAATGTAATATATAATATAAATACGTAATTACAAGGACACACACAAAGAGTTATCCCTTGTTACTATATGCATGAATAAAAATGGAAAAAATACAATGTTCTAACAACAAGTATTAGCCTAATAGATTAATAAATGACAACTGACAATGAAAATATATAAAAAAGTAAAACACAAAAGTCCAAGTTCCAGCAAAATGTCTTGACAATCCCCTGTGATTCTTTTATGGCCTGCTTTTTCAGGCTTGCGTTTCCACTGGCAAAAGGGTACCAATGGTACCCTTTTGGGGGTGTGGTGTATGACAGAAAGTTTCAGTCGACGTCATTCTTGCTAGAGGATATGTCAAAGTAAAGCTGTATGGGTGGTTTACCTATAATACAAGAAGCACTTCTCACAAAACAGAGGCTTTATACACATAAATACTTATAAGTATAAATGTTACTAACCATTACTAACCTCTATGAACATGATTTGATTATAACTGCAGATCAACGATACTGCGAAATAGCCTACTGTAGCGTCTGCAACTATATAGAATAAATAAATACATACAGCATATATCAACACATACAGACCCCTACAGTATCCGAAATGTTACCAATTACAGAAAAGCTACACACAACATTCATATAGGCCTTATTTGGCTTCAAAAACAACACAAAGCATACAGTCAGTGCAAACCTCTCATCTGTATCTTCAATCTTCACCAGCACATATGTAACGTTAACATATTGTTAGAAAGTAATCCTGTCATTCCGAGTTCATAATAGTCCAAAATGTGATGATAATAGTTAAACATGGCAGTTTGTTCATGTTTTAGGTTGCTGAAAGAATCATTCGCTCAATTGTTTTTTTACGCTTCACTCTCGCGTTTGTTTCTGAAAGCATCGGATGTCTGAAGCACTTCAGTAATCACGTGCATGTTATAATCATCAGATCAAGTTCGTTATTTCAAATATAGATGCGCACTCAAGCTTCCTGGAGAAAGTGAAGCCAGTCGTGCTTTAGACTACCTTTTAAATAACAACAGGACACAGGGTAGATTCTGTTTTTTTTCTTGGCTTTGTTGCTGTTCATCAATATGTTTGTTTAAGCTCGGGTTGACCATGGCTCGTTATTATATGTATATATTGTTATGGTGTAATGTCGCGGCTGTACAGTATATTTAAAAATGGCGCTTCCTTTGTTTTCGATTGTTGCTAGATCGAATATGGTTGCGGCCTAAGTTAATGAGAATTAGTTTTATTATTTAAAAATTTCCCATTTATTGTATTTAATTAATGTCTACCCCCACCCCAACTCTAAACCCAACCGTCACAGTAATGTAAAAACAGTAGTTGTACTGAGTATTATTTATTTACTATCTATTATCTATTAAATTATCCAATAAATTGTATTATTTAACACCTACCCCCACCCCAACCCTAAACCCAACCATCACAGTACTGTAAAAATATTAAATATTGTTATACAGCGTCATAAAAAATGCAACTATAATTTATGTATATCACACTTCTGACCGGCCGCGTATCCGATAGACTTAACCTTTGTTTTCATTCTCCTGGCTTGTGCATGAGAGAGTGACGTATCTCTGTAAAATCAATATCCTTCAGCTGCGCGTCTGGCTCCACCTTTTGATACTCTTTTGTTGTGCTAGGTAAAAGCTTACCCAAAAAAGTGATACGGTACAGTACCGAACCGTACCTTACACACCACTCAGTGGAAACGTGCCATTAGTGCCATCGTGTGTATTTAGATGTAAATGATTGGCAGTTCTGCTTCGTGAATGGTGAACTTGTAAGATGGCATCATCTGAAATACACAATTTTTAGAGTTTATGAGTTTAATGTATCTAGAATGTTTAAAAAAAAACAACAAAAAAATCAAACAAACAAAAAAAAACCCATCTTATTATTGGAGTTAGAACACCTGCGTAAATGTAGTTTTGGAAATAATGTCAAGTGGTTTATTATTTGTTTGCAGATGCCATGGAGTTTTGTTTACGTTATAAAAAGTGTAACTGAAGCACCTACAACTATTTTATCTTTGTTATTTGTGCCATAAGACTATATAAAGACATCTGAGACAGATAAAACGTAAGAGAGAGAAACAAAGAGCGATACGCTAGACACTTTCACCCTGAGGAAAGAGCTTATCACATTTTCCTAGAGTTGTAGAAGCCACACTGCTACCTTTAGAACAAAGCCCACAGCGTGAAAGCAGACACTGGCGAGAGACAGACGAACAAAAAGAGCTGCCTCATCTCCCCTTACCCCTCTGATTCACTCAGTATTTCATGTACAATATCTGCCCTTTACTCATTTAATCTTTTATGCAAATGTCTGCGTTATGAATTCTCAGTTCCCTGCTTGATAATAGATCCATTTTTCGCTTCGCCGTTGATTACAGTTTTCATTTCAAAAGAACATTATTAGCATTGCGTCAGTCGTTCCTACTTTGTGTGGTTAATTTCTGCTCCGTCCTTATCTAGACTTCCGAGTTTACAATGCAAAACTTTCAGTCCCACGTGACAAGGTTTTATGGCAGCACCATTGGTGGGATCTGAGTCTAAATATTTCAAGTGCTCTTCGTATGATATGTAGGGCATCATGTTTGTGCTTCTTTTCTTTGTCACAGGCATCATTACAACACAAGAAATCCTTGATCGGGAGACAAATAATCATTATTGGCTCACAGTTTACGCTACTGACCAGGGAATCGTGCCGCTTTCTTCATTTGTGGAGGTTTACATCGAGGTTCAGGATGTCAATGATAATGCTCCGCTGACAACAGAGCCTGTGTACTTTCCTTCTGTATCTGAAAACTCTCCCAAAGGCGTCTCCGTCATCCAGATCCAAGCGTTTGACCTGGACTCTGAATCAAGTGAAAATCTCTCATATAAAATAAGCAGTGGAAATCCACAAGGATTTTTTGCCATTGACTTCCAGACAGGTCAGTTAATTCTGCTCATTAATTCTTACCATCTGAAAAAGAAGTAAACTTCACAATGCTTTTATAAAGTGTATTTAATACACAAAAGAGCATTCACATTAGTGTGAATTAAATGTGTTGCTTATAAACACCCAAATGCATATTATTTGTCATTTATTAAAGTTGATCAGACTGTTAATTTATAATACAGTGTAAAAAAACATTGACTCAAATTGTAAGGCAACTTGCTGCACTTGCTTTTGTGTTGACACAACTACAGTACTTGGGTTTAAAGTTAAGTGAACTCAAAAAAGCTGTGAAGCAAGTTGCCTTACAATTTTAAGTTGAGTCAAAAAATTTTTTTACAGTGTAGATGCTATTAGTTGAGCTTGAGAGAATATTTGATACACATTTAGATTAGATTAGATTAGATTAATCTTTATTGTCATTACACATGTACATGTACAAGTACAAAGCAACGAAATGCAGTTTAGATCTAACCAGCAGTGCAATAGCAGCAAGTGCAGGATATAAGTATACGTCATAAAGTGCAGATACATAGAAAAACATAAAAAAAACTATGATGATATTTACAGATGATGTACTATGAACATTATATAAGGATTGTATTAGCTACTGTATGAACAGAGATTGACTATAGATTAAAATAGGTACAGGTTGCTTTTAATAGTCAGAGGTATGCAGATAGATATGGACATAATTACAAATGTATATGTACAGTGGGTATGTAGAATTCAAAATTAATTAGTGCAACGTAGTGCAATAAATATGTGCAGTTTTTAAATGTGCAAATATGAAATAGTGCAATGATTATGTGGAGTATAATATATATATATATATATATATATATATATATATATATATATATATATATATATATATATATATAAATGTTTTGTTTTTTCTTTTTTTGAGGAGAATGTGTATAAGGGGGCAAAGAGTCAGTGGGGGGCAGAGTTCAAAAGGGAGCCAATTCTGGGGAAAAAGCTGTTCCTCAGTCCGCTGGTTTTTGTTCAGAATTTTTTTCCCCTTAAGTGGGACTATAATTCAACTTTATATTTACTTTCTTAACTGCTTGTATTGTCTTTGAAATATAATTAAAGTTCACTTTCAGATGCAATTTCAGACAATTAATGTGAATTTGGTTAATGAAGATTTAATTTACACTATATGTGTTAATATAAATTAATATTTCAATCTATTTTAAAAACTATTTAAAAAAAATTTAAATATAGATTAGATGAAAGATATTTAAATACATTGTAAAATGTAAATAATTAAAAATAAATTCCTAATTTGCTACAATTCATTAGTAATATGTAATGGTAATGTTAATCTGTAATTCTATTGCATTACTTTTTGCATTTATTTATTTATTATTTTAATTTGGTTACATGTATGTTTTTTGTACTTATTTTTTGAAAGTAGGTTGGTTGCATTACAGGCTCATTCTGAAAACGTAGCCCTGTATACATTTCTGGAGATAGCGAAATGTACCCAGAGCAACCTATGGCCGCATTACTTATTTAAAATATATAACTCTGTTCCTTTTTGTGGGTGGCTTTTTTGCTGTTACCAGTTTGTTTAGTGGCTTGCCACGTACGTCAGCAGACTTAGGACACAAAACGGAGTTGATTACAATTGGGTTTGAATCCGTCTAAGTATGATCCGTCAACTTAAACTAATCCTAACCCTAAGCCCAACCTAACAGTCTAATCTCAAGGTTTTTTTTCTTCACTCCCATCAGGTGAAGTTTTTTTTCCCTCTCCGCTGTCGCCACTGGCTCGCATGGTTCAGGATTGGTAGAGCTACGCATCAATGAATTTGCTCTTCAGTGTTTGAACTCTCAGTAATGATTAAATCACACTGAACTGAGCTAAACTGAACTGAACTGAACTTAAACACTAAAAAACTGAACTACACTGTTCCAGTTACTATGACCATTTATTTGAAGCTGCTTTGACACAATCTACATTGTAAAAGCGCTATACAAATAAAGCTAAATTGAATTGAATAATTATAATCTAATAAGAATTAGTTGGCATATAGATGCAATGTAACTTAATTCATCAAAATAAAGTGTGACCTGCTATTCTGCATCCCTAATCCTGCACAACACTTAAACCAAACTACTGTCTTACTAACTATTATTAAACAGATAATTAGTAGTTTATTAAGCTAGTAGTGTTAGTTAATGGTTTGTTAATACTGTGAATTATGACCTAAAGTGTTACCAAATAAACAAGTAAATAACAGGGTTAGAATGTGGTAAAATCTGAAAACATGGTAAAAAACAGGTGGCTTTTCTTTGGTTGGTTGGACGGGTCAATCTGTGCTTTTGAAGACACTATTGGTTGGGTTTAGGGAAGGAGGAGATTGGGGAGATTGGTCGATCAGTTAACAGTGGCCTCTGGTGTATTTACGTGAGACGTGCAGGCACGAATGACACTAACGAGAAAAATGTGAGATCTCAAAAAGCGTACACAGCACCCTCTGGTGGATTCGCAAAAACAAAAACTACAAAAAAATTTACCTCCTGGGACATATTTGGCACTCTCCAGAAATATATAGGGGTACATTTTCAGAATAAGTCTGTGTTGGTATTTTGCAAACAGATGTTTAATGAAGTCCTCTCTCCTAAGTTATATTTGTACATGTAGAAAAAAAATCTAAATAATTTAGTAATAATAAGTAATTTATTAAATAATAATTAATTTTGGACACAAGATGAATTAAAATTTCTTATTGTCATCATAAGTGTATGTATTTAAAAGAAGAAAAAAGAATTAAAATGTACATTTTTGTATTAAACAAAATGAAAATAGTAACTTTTTGGAAAAACTGTCTAGTTGTAGGCTTTGATTTGCTTTGTTTGGGTGTGTGCTATTGAATCAATGACCTTCGTGTTTCATATGCAAAATGGAGCACCTTTAACATTAAGTAAAAACCATTTTAGAAGACTGTATTTGAATATATGCACCAATACGTTGACATTTGAGGGCTGGGGAAGATCAGTGTCAATCATTTGCAAACAAGAACGCATGCATGTAGATACCAGATATGCTGAATGTGAAATAGGTTCTGACATGAAATCTTTCCAGAAGTTTTTCAGAAAATATATAGACATAATTGATATTCACACCAGCTGGTTAATTACATTCACTGAGCAGCACAAGTAATGAACGCAGCTAATTAATTTGACGCGTCAATTGATTTCTCCTCCACCAAATTACTTGCCACACTCAGTCAGCTCAGCTTAAAGTCTCAACTGTGCAAGTAAAAAAGTTTTTCAAACAACTTCCCTGCCAAAGTCAATCGCATAAACTAAAGTTAGTTGGTATGCAATGTTTTCAGAGGAAGAAATGTGACCAGTTGGAAAGCATTTCAGGAACAGCGAGCGTAGTATAGACTCTTTGTGTTATTATTCTCTCTTTTGCAAAAAAAAAGAAAAAAAAAAGAAATACATAAAGGAGCGTGACATAAAGGAAACTCTTTCTGAGGAGAATGCAAAATGTAGAGTAGATTCATCTGTCATGCTTGAATGTTTTTTTTTCTTTTTCTTTTTTTGTTAGCACTGACCCAATGTCAGGAGAACAGCTTGAATCTTTTATTACTGATAAAAAGTTTTTTTTTTCAGTCGGAAGAAAAAACAAACTGAACTGTGCTATTTGTCATTTTATGCAAAGGGTTGGTGACAACAACGTCGAGGAAACTGGACCGAGAAAAGCAAGCAGAGCATCTTCTTGAAGTAAGAGGCATTCAATACCAGTCAGACATTGCATTTAGACTAGTTTATATTGCTTTTTTTAAAAGACAAAAATAGATAATATTGGCCACATAGGTCAAGAAACAAAAACATACTGTACTATTAAAGTAGTCCTTACATTGTGCACCAGTGTTGAGGTAATGCATTAAAGTGGATGTAATAATATTACTTTTCTAAGTACAGAGAAAATAAGGCATTACATTAAAAAACTAGTTATTGAAGTTTGAATTATGTTGAACACGTTGAAAGTAGTTTATTTAGTTTGAAAAGGCTAAAAGCAACATAAAAAAAAAACATATTACATTATAGTATAAAACATGAAGTAGCATGTTGTTAGCATGATTCTATCATGATTCTTGCAAGAATTTGCATTGTTGTTAGCATATTTCCAACATGAATTATTATGTTAACATGATTATAACATGAATTACATGTTGTTAGTATGTTTCTTATGTATTAGCATTTTTCTAAAATGAATTATGTTCTTAGCATGATTCCATCCATTTAAGTTACTTTTGATGTAATGTGAATTACTTGTTATTTAATTAATTAGGATTTTAAAAAATAATTAGCTGAACTAAAATCGATGTAGTCACATTTATTCAATACTCAATGAGAGAATGTGCCCATTATTTTGAACGCATCAAAGAAAAGGACAAGAGGACTCCCTTAGTGGACAGTGATTTTACATAGCTAAAAGGACAAAAAGTACAAAAGTAAAAAACATATTGCTTTAAACGTTCAACAATCTGTACAATATAGACGGCATGTATAGCCCTGGGGTCAGGATGTTTTCTGAAGATAACATCATCTTAAATGACATATTCTTTGTGTGTTTTTTAAAGGTAAATCAAAGTGTAGGTTATGCAGTGTATTGGTAATTGCAAAGCTCATCTATTTAAAAAAAAGAAAAAATAAATAATTCAAAAGTAATGTAACGCAACACTTACTATAAAAAATAACTTATTAACGCAACTAGTTATTTTTTGTGAAGTAACTCAATATTGTAATTCATTACTTTCAAAAGTAACTTTCCCCAACACTGCTTTGCACTATGCTTTTTTATTATTCATGTTTTTTAAAGACATGTTAATTTAGTTTTACTGAAGAAAAACGAAATAATACACCAATGAAAATGACATGATGGTTTGCAAATAATTTTCATCTTTGGAGATCTGTTTAGTTCTAATAGATATACATTCAGAAAAACTGATTTACGTTCGAATAGATATGATATGGACATCAAAATAGGAGAAGAAACCTACAGTTTTCTCATTTTGAGGTCATTGGTTATTTAAAATGATTTGCAATAGCAAGAGAAGTTTATCATTCCAAATCTGTGATTTCTAGATTATTGCATCTTTAAAATTTCAAGATAATGAAGAGAATCTGAGTTGGAAATGGGTTTAACATTGCAATTGGAATTTCTTGCCAGTTTACCTCTGAACAGGGTAACACTGTGTCCTAACAACACTTAAAGCCTCCATTGGCAAGCAATTTGGCTGACTGCACCAGATGCGGCACATCCAAAACATTAATTCATTTAAACAGTCATTCAGAAACACAAAAAAGTGCACTGCACTCCAGGTTAAGTTCGAATAATTAATTAATATATACTAAATATTATTAAAAGTAACCCGGCCCTGGGAGACTTTGGTTTGAATGCCACTGTAATAACCAAATCTTTCATAAGAAGTAAAAATCAAAAGATTAGACTTAACTTTGCTTAGAAGCATGAGGTGTGGACACAAAACTGGTCCATAGTTCACATGAAAGCAAGTATCATTTATTTGGATCCAATAGAAACATTATATTTGTCATCAAGCTTGAGAAAGAGTGAACTTAAAGTATGTGCAGAAAGGTGAAAGAGGAAGGGTTATGGTTTGGGGGATGATTTTTGAACCAGGTGCTTGATTTGAAATGGCAATCATTATCTAAAATCTCTGGAAAATCATTGGTGACAGAGTCATGGTTAAAAAGCCACTACAGTCAGTGAACTGTGATAGACAGAGGAAAAGAATATCAAGATCACAGCAGAGCAGTGTGAGAGACTAGTGATGTCTTTTGGCCACAGATCTGCTCAAGTCATTCAAAGCAAGGGCCTCTACAGTTCACACACAATTTTGATGGCTGTAACCTTTAGAAATTAGAGTTGTGAAAATATTAGGTAACACTTTAAGTCACAATTCACAGTATAAACAAACTATTAACTAAAACTCCTAGCTTAATAAACTACTTAATAGCTGTTTATTAATAGTTAGTGCGGTAGAAGCTGGGTTTAGAATTTGTGTGGGATTAGGGATGCAGAATAAGATCATACTTTATAACTACTAATGAACAGTTAATATCTTAATAATAGGCAAGTAATATACCAGTAGTTATTAGCATGAATTGTAATCCAAAGTGCTAGCGAATATTCAAATGTTCTCTAGTTTTGATAACTGTTGTCCACCAAATATAATGTTTTTGTTGAAGAAAACACTGTTCTGCTGTATTAGCATGATATTTAGTCAAACTACTGTAAAAGTCCTTCAAAATTTGTAACATGAAAATTAAATTATTTAAAAAAAAAAGGCATTGTACTGTATAAAAAGTTTTCAATTTAATTTTATTCATTCTATGCCTTCCTCACGTTTTCTTTGGCAGTATTTCCTCAAGCACTCAAACATAAGATCTGCTTTTTTCCCTCTTAAACAGATCACAGTTTCGGATGATGGCAGTCCATCCAAGTCGACCGTGGTTCATGTGATAGTCAACGTATTGGATGAAAATGACAACAGTCCCCAGTTCTTGGAAAAGATCTTTAAAATCAGGCTGGTGGAACGACTGGAGGCAGTGGAATGGGAGCCAATTTATCGAGTGATTGCCTATGACAGAGATGAGAGTCCCTTCTCTGATATCTCATACGCTATTGAGGAGGGTGAAGAGCAGGGGAAATTTTTCATTGAGCCCACAACTGGGTTTGTGTTCTCTAAAGAGGCTTTTTCAGCGGGGGAGTATAATATTATCACGGTACGTTTATTTCAATTTCCAGTTGCCAAATGGTGTCGGATTTAATAGTGGAGTTTTTGAGGATTCAGACTGAATGGGCACATGCACCTTAATATTTTTTATCCAAGTGGATTTTCTAGGATAAACGCTATATTTTGTTAACTTTGATGATCAAATTGAATGCTATTGTAAGCTGGTGCAAAGAGTTAGTTCACCACACAATTTAGTTCTCTTTAACTTACCCTCACATGGTTCCAAATCCAAAAGTAGGTTGTTGATATTTTTATCAAATCTGACAGAAAAGAAACAAGATCACTAGATAAAATCAACAGATTTCATTTAGAATTTATATTAAACATTCAGATTTGGTCAACACAGGCTCATTCTGAAAACGTAGTCCCGCGGACATTTCTGGAGACCATGAATTACATAGCCGCAGGTATGTTTGGCTGCATTTCATTTTTTAAGTGAATGCTGCGGGGTGGCATGACGCCGTTATTTTTGGCGCTTCCCGGCTGACTGCTTACCTTTTTTGTGGAGGGCTTTCCTGCCACAGCCAGTTTGTCCAGTTAGCACGTCGTGTACGTCAGCGGATTTGAGATGCAGAGAGGAGTTGACCGCGATGATGACGACGACCGGGTTTGAGTCCGAGGAAGAGCAGTTCCAAAAATCAGGTAAGACAAAAACAGAATCCAAAAAATAAACCAAACGAATGAAAAACAGGGTGAGAATGTGGTAAAACCTGAAAATGTGGTAAAAATCAGAAAAGGGGTTTTCTTTTTCTGGATGGCTTTTGTAAACAGTTAACTGGGTTTAGGGAAGTAAGCGGGCAGTCGGGTCAATCGGTAAAATTGGGTTTAGGGAAGGAGGAGGGTTGGTTGGTCGATTGTCCGGTCGCCTAGTCAATCATTCAGTCATTCAGTCGGTTAACAATGGCCTCTGGTGGGTTCACATGAGAACAGCGCGGGCGCAAACTGCACCCACGAGAGACATTTGAGATGCGAAAATGCGTACACAACAGCCTCTTGCAGATTCGCGAAAACAAAAACTGCAAAAATATGTACGTCCTGGGACATATTTCGTGGTCTCCAGAATTGTTCGCGGGACTACGTTTTCAGAACTAGCCTGCATTGGATTTGGTCATGGAAGCTCAGTCATGCTTGCTTGATGTGTGGGAACCAATGAGGTTCATTCTCGTGTGTCAGATGAGCATTCTTGAGCTTCTGCAAGAACCAATGAGGTTTGCTTTTATGCATTAAGCAGATATGGTTGTTGCCATTTAGTCTGATCAGTGTTTATAGGTGAATAACATATACAGATGTAATTACGTGCAGATATGTAATCAATCATAAGTACAATGTAAAACATGTAGTTGAACAACAAGTACATTGTTAAAAATGATTCATTTCAGTGTAAGCACTTATAAGTCAAGGTAACCTAATATATATGACTCAAATTTTATTTAGGCATGAATTAAACCTTTAATATGTCCATCTTTTTAAAAAAGCCCCATATATTGATTATGTACTCTTAAAAATGTGTTCTTTACACATCTTGTCATGTCAGTAGGTCAAAAACAACAAAAAACACTCACTCTGCTCTCTTGCAGATTAAAGCATCAGACAATGGGAAGCCTTCAAAGTCGTCCATCTGTCGGTTGCACATTGAGTGGATTCCAAAGCCTAAGCTGGCTAAACAAGCGCTGGCATTTGAGGAGATTCCTCTCTCATTCTCTGTGATGGAGAACGATCCAGTAGCCCATATGGTGGGAGTCATCAGCGCTCAGCCACTTGACTCTCCTGTATGGTTTACTATCAATGGTAAGAACCTAAAGTTCTACAACCAGCCTTAAAGAGACAATTTACCCTGTACTTGTTCCAAACCTGTTTTAGTTGGATGAACAGAAAGGGGAAAAGGGAAAAGAATAACAAATTAATCAGACAATTCGATTGTAAAAATGGTAGTTTGTTCCTATACTAAGTCAATGGTTATTTGATTATTACACCAAAATGAGAGTATTGTTCTTAGTCATATCGACCTAGAAAATATCAACGTTTAATTTCCATTGGTCTTCGTATTCAATGTAACTACTGAAGAGTCAAGCTTTAAAAAGAAAAATTATCTAAACTCTTTTTTTAAAAACTTTTTTGAGAGATGCTAAGAGTCTAAAATTATTCAATGATTTATGCTAAGCTAAACTAAAAGTGCTCTCACCAGACATAGAGATCAGCTGAATAGATTAAAAAATGACAAAACGTAGCTGTTTAACTCTAATGGACTTGTGAAATGATCCAATTTCCAAAAAAGTGGAATGTTCCTTTACTGTGGCTCTATGCAGAGTGGCCATTGTCTATCAAAGTTCTACAAGAGCAATTTATAAGTGTAAGAATCTGTCTGCATTCTATACCTCAGTCTGTGCAGTCCAAACAGCCAAAACCTGAATATTTCTTTTTTCCCTGTGCCTAATTCTTATCTGCTTCCTCTGCTTTTCTTTTTCTCCTTCTCTACTGTTGCTTCATGAAGGAGACACACATGTTAAAGACGCTTTTCACATTCTACAGATGTCTTGTGACCTGAACTGTACGGCAGGTATCTGCTGATGAACAGAAACATGACTTCTTGATTTCTGATACACTGAAAAACACACACTTGATTTCTTATACACTGAAAAACACACACTTTTGACCAACTTTAAAAAAATTACTGTCATGTTTGCAGCAAAATATTTTAGTTTTTCCCCAAAGTATAATTTAACTTTGGTTTTATTTTAAAATTTTATCTTTTTTAACCTTAAGTCTAAGTATATTTTTGCTTTGACTTAATCTAAAAATGACTGTAATGTTAAAATGTCCATAGCGCAAGGTGCAAAAGCATTAAGGGCTAGTCAGAATCCACTTTTGCTATTTTAAGGACGGAAAAATAAGCTCTGCGCTGTGGCACATGGTCTAACAGGGTTAAGCTTATTTTTTTAATTAGTTATAGGTGTGTTTTGATAATATACTAATCAGAGTCTCATCTCCCATTCCCTTAAAGAGTCAGTTGCGTTAGGCCATGGCGCATTTACTATTAACATGGCAGACTTTGTAAGTGGAAAAACTGAGCGCTTCACAAGCAAGAAAACAGTTAAACAGAGCATCTGCAGTGCGAGAATGAGATAATGAGCCTCCTTACTTTTTACTTTCACTTTCATTCTCTTTTGTGGATAAAATTTCTTGTTGTATGCACAGACATGTATTAGCCAATATAAGTAATTTCGTTTGGTAAGCGCAAAGATTTGTTTCAAAACTATTTCTAAATTCAGTTCTAATGTCCAGCCAACAAATAAATGAACAATAATAAAGAAGTGTGGTCAAAAAACTGAGTTATATCCAAATAGACATGCTGTGCCCATGCTCCAAAAACTGACAGGTGGACCATTCTAAGCTTCTTTTTAATAAAACAAATATAAAAATGCATATAATAAATAATAATGCTAATAATAATAACATTATACAAAAGCAAATTATCATGAATAAACTGAAAAAGCCGCTCATGATGAAGGCAGTGGTTTTTATATTTATGTAGAAAATAATATCTTTTGTAATATTTTATTCCTTAAATTCTTTTTTTTTATTTGTAAAGATATTTGCATATTGCTGTACATCCTGTGTGTATTAAGAAATGTGTGAGTGATGCGCACAACTAACATGCTCTGCGCTGGACTTTAGACCTGCTCTCAGCTGGTTTATTGAACAGTCTATTTTAGTTCTTCAAAATAGCAACGTGCCAGCAATGCGCCTTAACACACCTCTTATTTAGACCAAAACACCTATAAGTGCACAATGTGGTGCAAATGGATTTGCTACTTAAACAACGTGGCAGAAAACAGGAAAATTATGGTCTGAAAATTGCAACACGTCATAGAAACACGTCTTGTGTCTTATTGTGCCGGGTGTATGATAGGGCCCAAAATGTTTTTTTCATAAATGATAAATAAAATTTAAGCACTTTGGTTTGACTTAATATTATTAAAATCAAAATTTGTACCAAGTTTGGACTAAACCATAATAAATACATAATGTTAGATGTTAGAAATAAATTAAAACTGAAAGCACATAAATAGTACCCTTTTGATGTGGTTACATGACATGAAACCTGCTTAAAAATAGTACTTTAAGTTTACCTAGGAGGTTGTTATCATTATTTTTTTGCTTCAAGGCAAATTTAATAAAACGGGTTATAATCAGCCACCTTGCTTTTTCAAATAATCCAACACAAAAATCTACTTTGAATGAAAGACACAGTACTGCAGTAAATTTTTTTCCAGTGTTATTTCCTCTCACATCTACCAAAAAGACCTCTGAATTTATATTCTGTGGAGGAGATCTTGCATAATGATTACTTTCTTTGAATGTTTGCTACTTTAACAGCTAATGCAAATGATACATTATGCAAAAATCCCACTTGGTAGTGAACAGCATTAATATGCGACCGCTGTCTGTGTTGGTACTAACAGGTGGAAGCACTGACAGCCGTTTTGACGTGGAAAAGGCGAGTGGCACAATCATCATTGCTGGAGCACTAGATGCTGAACGACAGTCAAATTATAACCTCACTGTTGAAGCAACAGATGGAACAAGATCTATCAGCACTCAGGTGTTTTTCTTTAATAGCACTTACCAAGAAATTGCCCATGCATTTATAAAATTGTATCGGTTGAATAATGGATGTAGAGATGCACATCTTTGTCTTGCCTTGTATATGCGTGGTTCTGCATTGTGACAGGATAATTGTTTTGTTGCTTAGAATTACCAATACACCCCACCACTGCTCAAATTGAAAAGACAGTTTAAAATAAACAAGATTACAAGCTCACAATTAATATCAGATTCAAATTAATCCGAAAATGCAGTAAATGTCATTAAATAGATTTTAAATGCTCAATGTCTTAAACTTTGAATCTATCAGAAACACTTTACAATAAGGTTGTATTAGCTAATGTTAGTTAATGCATAAGTTAACATGAATTAATGTTAACTATCAGAAACACTTTACAATAAGGTTGTATTAGCTAATGTTAGTTAATGCATTAGTTAACATGAATTAATGTTAACTATCAGAAACACTTTACAATAAGGTTGTATTAGCTAATGTTAGTTAATGCATTAGTTAACATGAATTAACAATGAAGACATCTGTTAAGCATTAATTAACCTAGCATACTGTCTATTAATGTGTTGGTTAATGCATTAAAAAACATTAACTAACGATGACAAATTACTTTGTTCAGCATTACATAATTACAAAAGTTGCACTAACTACAAAAAAAATATTGTATGGACTAGAAAAATTAAGTTGAACTAACTAGAGAAAGTAAGTTGTTTCATTTATTTATTTTATTTTTGGCTTAGTCTCTTTATTAATCAGCGGTTGCCACAGCAGAATTAACTGCCATCTTATCCAGCATATGTTTTACGCAGGGGATGCCATTCCAGCTGCAACCCATCACTGGGAAACACCCATACACTTATTCACACACATACACTACGGACAATTTAGCTTATCCAGTTCAAGTATAGTGCATGTCTTTAAACATGTTGGGGGAAACCGGAGCACCCAGAGGAAACCTACGCAAACATGAGAAAAACATGCAAACTACACACAGAAATGCCAACTGACCCAGCCGAGGCTGGAACAAGTGACCTTCTTGCTGTGAGAAGATAGCGCAACCCACTGCGCCTCCATGCCACCCAAATTAAGTTGTATGAACTAGAAAGCTTCAGTTGGGGTAACTTGACAAGTTGTATGAACTAGAAAAAAAAATAAGTTGGGGCAATTAGAAAAAAAACTTGCTCCGTTTACACTTTAAAAAAAATGACAAAAAGTCAAGACAACAAATATTTTTATGTTGCTCTAACTTATTTTAAGTTATTAAGTTAATCAGGTTTCAACAAAAAAGTTATACAAAGTTGTTGAATTGTTATACAATGTTTGACTGATGTAAATTGATACAACTAGAAAAGTTCATTTGATTCAATTAAAACATTTCAGGCAGCATAATTTTTTATAATGTAGAAAAAATAAATTGTCTACTAGAAAAATTAAACTGCACTTGTATAAACAAAGATATTATGTTAGACAACAAAATTATCGAACGAGAAGGCACTCAAAAATTGAAGAAATTATTATTTTCCTTTTCCTTTTCCTTTTTTTTTACGTACAGAACCTTTTGAGTGCCTTGGACTTGGTCTTTATCTTTATGAATCCCTTACCCAAAGAACTCCAACACATTAATTACCCCTGAAGCACTTTTGGTTTTATTTAGGATATTATGTTGCATGAAGAAGAACAATTAAGTTGCACTAACTACAGAAATTGAATTGAGGTAAAGTGAAAAAAATAAACAATGAGCTTTGTTAGTGATAATGTTGGTAAAAAGTCCACAAACATTGATAACATGTAAGTTGAAATCTGTGCAGTGCTGAACCTGAGTCATGAATTATTATTTGGTTATGTTAACTAATGCTTTAATAAACACATTACTTTATTTGTAAGTTTACATGAACAAATCAGGGACGTGCGGTCAGGGGAGGCAGATGAGGCAGTGCCATACCTGTCATTATCCTCACCTGCCATCATAAGATGTATACTAATAATAAAATAAATATTTGTCCACTGATCTGTGCAATAAATGCAATTTCTGTATGATTAAATTTATTTCAATCATTTTTATGATCAAAATTGCAGTATTTAGCATAATACAACCTTATTGTAAAGTGTTACCCACATACCTAAGAATGACCAAGTCTTAAATCCTAAGTTTTTACTGTAAGTTGCAACAATCTTACACACTTGTCCTGCTACAAGTGATTATTCATACTGAAAGATCAGATTTAGTCACAATAGAACGTATTAAATTTCATGTCAAAAATCATGATAACTCATCTAGCCGGAATGCATACTGTCACCTGCATATTGCGATCCTGTTGCATGCAGTTGGCTGAAATATGCTTTCTTTCTAATGTACGCTTCCCTTTGTCCTTTTGTCATGGTGTGAACATACCTCTCCTTGGGCGATACCTGCATGTATCAGCCAAGCCAGCCAGCCTTATCAGGTCACAGTGCGAGACTCATCCATCAGTGTGAGCAGGCCCAGAGGCAAAGAATGATGTGAGAGGGAGTAATGTTTTAAAAGAGAGCTCCGTTTCAGCCCTCAGTCTGTCTCTCCTGTTGCAGAGAGCATGCCCTCTGGGAGATTGCAGTCCGCACTGTTTGTCATCCCATAATGGGCTTCATACTTGTGGGCTTTTTTCAGAGTCTGTGTGAATTACAGACTTTCAAAAATTTGCGTCTCAGGTCAAATAATGTGTACTGGGTGTCCTTATGTCCCTGTTGCTTGAGTAAACGTGCATCCTTTAGAAAACAGTGCGGAATCCTTTACGATTCGCTTACATTTAGAGTTTTGGAAAAATGCTATTTTGATTGAAAAGGGTATTTTCTTAAGAGCAATTTTGCTTTGTTCAACAGGTCATAATTCAAGTTCTTGACACAAATGAACACCGTCCCAAGTTTAGCCAAAACCACTATGAGATAAGCATTCCAGAGGAAATTCAGCCTGGCATGAAGATACTGGAAATAAATGCAACAGATAAAGACGAGAACAACAAATTATCCTACACACTGTTGAGCAGCACAGACTTATTTAGTCTGAAGAAGTTTCGTCTTGATCCTGGAACAGGCTTTCTGTACACCACTGAAAAACTCGACCATGAAACCATGCACAGACACATCCTCACTGTAATGGTAAGTCCATGTATAATCTTTTTTTATCATCTACATTAAGTATTTCAAATAAAAACCTGCTTAATATTTTACCAGCTGTTTCCTTTACATCATATTATTCCAGGTTAGGGATCAAGGTGTGCCTGTGAAGAGTAATGTTGTGAGAGTAATCATCAATGTGGAGGACAGTAATGACAATCCACCGTGGTTCACTAGCTCTCAGTATGCTGCCCGTGTGTTTGAGACAGCTGCGATTGGTTCATCTGTGTTACAGGTCACTGCTTTGGACAAAGACAAGAGCTTTAATGCTGAAATCCTTTACAGCATAGATTCAGGTACAACTATGCTTTGCACTATTAAGCCATACTAATTAATATTGTTATATACACTCACTGGAAACTTTATTGGGTGCTTAACCTTTGTATTATAAGGCAGGACCACTTTTTGAAGTCAGAATAGGCTTGTTGTTTTGTGGCTTAGATTCAACATGATGCTCGACACATTTGTCCATATACTGTACTGTAGATGTACAAGGCATCCACTGTTGCTGCAGATTTGGCATTTGAACATCCATGATGTGAATCTCCACCACATCCCAAGTGTTTTCAATTGGTTTGGGATTTGGTGACTGTGGATAGCATTTTAGTATAGAGCAGGCAATCTATTATTGTTCAATCAAGTATTGAACACATCATGATTCTTACTGGTCAATGTATTTATAAAGGTGCTGTTGACATGAAATTGACCCAAATTTTGGTTAAAAACACAAACAATCTAAACACATAATTTTTTTTCCAGAAAATCTATGATATGTGTATTAACATTGGGATGACACAAGGAGAAAGTACTGAATTACTAAAATGCACTGCAAAAAATACTTATTTTTTTTTTTTTAAATCTTGTTTTTAGTCCAAATATATAAATATTCTTAAATCAAGACGTATTTTTTAGACTAGAAAAACTTATTGTCTTGTTTTAAGAATTAATATTCCAAAATAATGTGAGTTTTTCCTTAAAGCAAGCAAAATAATCTGCCAATGGGGTAAGCAAAATAATCTTATTTAAAATTGAAAACAAGAATATTTTTCTTACTCCATTGGCAGATTATTTTCCTTGTTTTAAAGAAATACTCACTCAATTTTGACACATTATTTCACAAAACAAGACAATATTTTTTACGTATTTAGAAAATCTTGATTTGAGAAATTGTAGATATTTGGACTAGACAACAGAATATTCAACTCTGATCTTTAATTCTTATTTTCTATTGAATTTAAGTCAGGTGATGAGCTGGGCCATCCTAGCAGATGCATTTTCTTTTTCTGAATCTAGCTGAGATTCCTGTGCTGTGTTTGGGATGACTTTCTTGCTGGAATCTCCACACCGGTTTCATCTCCATCATTCTGGAAATGCAGGAATTGGGAATGAAGCAGCTAATATTAATTTTCATTGAGGAGGGTTAAGGTGCTTTCTAACTACTGAGAGATTGCTGTCTAGGCTTCCTTTCTTTGTGTGTTCAATATTTTTTTCATGTATCATTTCATTGTATTACATATAACCTAATTTCTGAACTTATTAGTTTTATTTTCTTTATATGTTAGGATAAAGTTTTTGGATTACTTTGGCATCTAGTGAAAAAGTAAACAGTTCTTTTAGAAATATATTCTCAGAGAAAAATGGTGATGTGTTCAATACTATTTTATCAACTGTATGTGGATAACTTTCATGTTCAAGAAACTTCTATCAAATAAACCAGTGTAGCTATTTTCCTTTGACCTCTAGCATCTTCAAGGAATACTCAATTCAGAAGTTCTCAGATCAGCCTAATGAACAACTTTGCCACATTCAAAGGCTACATTTACACTAACGTGTTCATTATGAAGAATGCAATTAAGAATTAAAATTATTCACTTTTCGTCTAGATTTTTACTGTGTTTCAGAAAAACAATCTCTGTCAACACTACAGTATACACCCTAAAATGCATGACTCATGGCCATTCACATATTTTGCAAGCATTCATACCAGATGCCTACAGGTGACACATGAGAGGTGCTTGAAAAAACAGGAAACAATATGCAACAGTTCATAAGACCAGTCAGAGAGTGATTATGTACAGCCACAGCTCCATTTCAGTCTATCTAATTTGAACATCAGCATTTCTCAAGTAAAATGGGGTCTTCGGTGCTTTAAAATGCTTTGTTATTGTGGGCTGAAAATGTTGTAGTGGAAAATGTTGTAAAGTGGAAAAGTGTTAAAATAACCGCCCTAGTGTAACCTAAATCAACATATTTCCTCATTTTGATGCTCAGTTCAAAGTTTGAGAGATTGCCTTGACCAAATGCCTCTCTAAATGCCTTAATCCATTCAATTGCTTCCATGCAAGAAGGTGAACAGGAGGACACTTAATAAAGTGGCTGGTGATTGTATATATTACACAGACAACCGCAGTGTAAGATACATTCATACTACTGTATTTATGTGTTTTACAGCAGTTGCCAGAGAGATATGTGCAATGAAATTATTATATTGATCTCTGTTTCTTACCTTTCCCCTCTTTCTTATGGTTAGGAAATCATGGAACTTCCTTCATCATTGATCAGTCCTCCGGCATTATAACAGTTGCAAGAGAACTTGATTGTGAGACCAGAGACCAGTATGAATTGATAATAAAAGCTTCAGACAAAGGAGAACCTTCGCTCAGTGCAGTTACGGCTGTCAGGATCACAGTCACTATCTCAGATAATACCAAGCCGAAGTTCCCCTCCAATTCTCTATCAGCTGAAGTCAGTGAGAACGTTCCTGTTGGGAGTTTTGTAACTTTAGTCTCAGCCTTCAGTCAATCAACAGTTTTCTATCAAATCATAGAGGGAAATGAGAAAGGCGCGTTTGACATCAATCCAAACTCTGGTGCTGTCATCACAAGGAAGAAGCTGGACTTTGAAACACTTTCATCATATAAACTGATTGTCCAGGGAACAGACATGGCTGAAATGTCAAGCAGTGTCACAGTTAACATTTATTTAAAGGATGAAAATGACAATGCTCCTGTCTTCACCCAATCTGAATATACTGGCTTCATCAGCGAGTCGGCCATCATCAGAAGTGTGGTCCTGAACTCTCAGAAAGCTCCTCTTGTTGTTCGTGCAACAGATGCTGACCAGCACTCAAATGCCAGACTTGTCTATCAGATTATGGAGCCATTTGCTTGTAACTACTTCTCTATCGATTCTAGGACTGGAGCGATTCAAACTCTCAGCAACCTGGATTATGAGCAGAGACGGATATTTAACTTTAGAGTTCAAGTTCATGACACTGGGAACCCACGTTTATTTGCTCAAGACACTGCCAATGTGACTATACACATCATTAACATTAATGACTGCGCTCCCAAGTTCACTCAGGATTCATACGAGGCTACTCTTCTCCTTCCGACCTATAAAGGTGTTAAAGTGATAACAGTAAAGGCAACAGATGAGGACTCGCTGCCAGGAAACAAACTACATTTTGAAATTGTGGATGGCAACATAGGGAACAAATTCTGGCTTGATCCAACTTTTGGTGATATTTTTGTACAAAATACTACACAGCTGCGGAGCAGGTACAGATTGACAGTCCAAGTCTCTGATGGAAGTTTCATTGGGTGTGCAAATGTGAAAGTCAATGTTAAAGATAATAAAAGTCACAATCTGAAGTTCACGCAGGACATTTTCACCGCTCAGGTGCAAGAAAACGCTACAGAAAAGAAAACCCTGGCAGTTCTTTCTGTAGTTGGAAATAGAGTCAACGAGCCTTTGTTTTATTCTATTCTCAATCCTAACAGTAAATTTGAAATAGGACGCACATCAGGAGTGCTTTTCTCTACGGGCATCCCATTTGATCGAGAGGAACAGGATTTGTTTGAAATCATTGTGGAGGTAATAAAAGAGCCAGGGTTGAATGGTCCTGCCCACGTGCTTGTGAAAGTGCAAGTTGAGGACGTGAATGATAATGCCCCATTCTTTGTAGATCAACCCTATCATGCGGTTGTACAGGTTGACCAAACTGTGGGTTCAGTTTTTGCGAAGGTGACCACTGTGGACAGAGATATAGGCAAAAATGCTGAGATTACATACTACTTGAAAGGTCATGATAAATATTTTCAGGTGAACCCATTTGGAGAAATATCTCTAAAGAGGCCTCTTGAGTTGGAAAGCATTGGCAAGTATGTCATTAACATCACTGCGCAAGATGAAGGTGAACCACCACTATTCTCAAATGCAGAGGTTGTTATTTCAGTGGTGAACAAAGCCACACCAATATTTGAAAGACCTTTTTACAAGATTGAAATCCTCGAGAATGTGCTAGTAGGTACATCTATACTCCAAGTTGTAGCCAATCAATCTGCAGGACCTCGTACTGTCTACAGCATCAGTGGGGGAAACCCATTCAGTCAGTTTGACATTCATTTTAACTCTGGACTCATTAAAGTCATCCAGCCATTGGATTATGAGGCTCATCCAGCATATCGGTTAAGCATCCAGGCAACAGATTCTTTGACCGGGGCCAACTCTGATGTTTTTGTAGACATTATATTAGAAGATGTCAATGACAACGCACCTAAATTTGAAGCAGCAGTGTATAGTATTAGCATCTCTGAATCTACTGTAATTGGAACCTCTGTACTGCAAGTGGTAGCCATGGACCCTGATGCACAAAGCAATGCTATATTGTTTTATAAACTGCATGAAAGGGATGGATCGACTTCAGATCACTTCAGAATAGATGCCGAGACTGGAGTTATTTGGACTGCAGGACTACTAGACCATGAAACCCAATCTCAGCATGATCTGATTGTAAAAGCTGTTGACGGTGGGGCAATTCAGCTGTCTTCTGAAGTCCAAGTGACCGTATATATAACTGATCTTAATGACAACCCACCTATTTTTGCACAACAGCTTTATAATGCCACTATAAGTAAGATTTCTTCTCCAGGGCAGCTTGTGACCTGTGTTAAAGCATTTGATGCTGACAGTCATGGTAGCAGTAATCTCGAGTATGCCATTTTGTCAGGAAATGACAACAACATTTTTGCAATTGATGCGTTAAGTGGAGAAATTGTGATTGCCAACATCAGCAGACAATCTCTTAAGCACTTCTACAGCTTAATACTGTCAGTGACTGATGGTGTTTTCTGTGCTAGCGCTGAAGCTAACATCTATGTGATGGGTGAAAATAGCCACAGCCCATCATTTACTCAGGACGAGTATCTTATTGAACTTGCTGAGAACTCTCCAGTTGGTACGCTTGTCGGACAAGTTGAAGCCATTGATGAGGACCCAGGGAAATACGGACAACTGACATTCTTCATTATGAATGATATCGCCAGGGATAAATTTAACATCAATGAAGATGGACAGATTTACACAGAAGAGAGCTTTGACAGAGAAAACCCAGAAGAGAAAATAATTAGAATCAGTTTAATGGCTAAAGATGGCGGTGGTCTATTAGGCTTTTGTAATGTCATTGTAATTCTCTCTGATGTGAATGACAATTCGCCTAAATTCAAGCATTCAGAATATAAAGTTACTGTGCCAAGAGATGCCCCTAGCAGCACAACAGTAATCAAAACAACAGCAGTAGATGAAGATGAGGGAAGTAATGCTGATATCGTATACACTATTGAATCTGATATAGACCACTTTGAAATTCATTCACTTAGTGGTGCGATTGTCACAAAAGAAAGCCTAATTGGACTGGAAAATGGCCTGTATTCCTTCTTTGTGAAGGCTAAAGATTCTGGAAGCCCACCAAAGCAATCTATTATTCCAGTTTCAATTAGAATAGTTCCCCCTGAAACATCAATCCCAAAGTTTGCCGAGCCGTCGCTGTGGTTGGAGCTTTCAGAAGACCTGGCTGTCGGAACTGAGATGGATATCTTCCAAGCCGAAAATGAGCTTTCTGTGATCTACAGCCTTGTTGGAGGGAACACCCCAGAGAGTAACAAACATGATGTCTTTGCTATTGACAGCACAACTGGTAAGCTTATACTCACAAAACGACTAGACTATGAAACTATAAAATGGTATCATCTCGCAGTGCAGGTTCGAGATGTCAAAGATGACATGGAAATTATCTCAACTGTAGATGTGAGTGTCCATCTCAAGGATGTCAATGATAACAGCCCACAATTTGAGTCCTTCCGCTACCAGTCGTGTATTGCTGAAAACCTGCCAAAAGGGACTTCTGTAGTGCAGGTTAAGGCAACGGATCTGGATTCTTGGCTGAATGGCCAGATCACGTATGCTCTGCATGAAAACCAGCAGCCCCCTGATGTTCTTCAGTTGTTTTCAGTGAACAGCGAGACGGGTTGGATAACCACCCTCATGGAAATAGACAGGGAAAAGACAGACCAATATCGAATCACAGTGGTGGCCACAGACGGAGCCCAAGGGCTACAGATGACAGGCACTACTGTTGTAGAAGTGACAGTTGTGGACACAAATGACAACCCTCCGTTATTTACTGAAGCAGTTTTTAAAGGCGCTGTAAGAGAAGATGAATCTACACCAGGCACAGTTGTAACCATTCTCAGCTATGTTGATTCTGACAGCGATGAGGTCAACAGGAGGTTCAACTGCTTCATCACAGGTATACCGTCCATGTTAACAAGTGAAAGAGAGTAATAGTTTAATCTGTCTTAATTTTCTGTCCCTTGTAGTGTTTAAACCCAATTTTCTTAAGTTGTACTCACTGCTCTTTTTCACACAATGTAGTTAAATTTAACAAAATAATAATAATAAAAAGCTAATAACAAGCAGACCATTTAATTAGTATCACCAAAACAGTGTGTTTTTGTAATAGGGCTTTAGAAAATAACATCTGTCATAAACAAAACTTGGTGATACTTTTAATTGTTTTGTGCTTTACAGCATGAATTACACAAACTCATACTGACAACATGATGATATCTAACAACATGAATTACACACACACATGCCAAAACACCTACAAAGAAAAGCATAAAAAAAAACTGTTTCAGGCCCTGTTTACACTAATATGTTTTAGTTTTAAAACAGCGGTTCAGAATAAAAACAATCCTTGTCAACACTGGCATTTTATCTACCATTTTTAAATGCCTTCTGTCCACACTTCACTGCTTAAAACCGAGATCACATGACCGCACACACACGCTCTGGCATGCGAAAGCAAGAAACAGGGTATGTTTTATACTTTTCAATGAAAATGAAATGAGGCAGAAAGTCTCTAGCAAAGTCCCTTTAAGGCAAGTCATTTCACTTGGCTGTCATCTTTGAAACACCTCTTGGGCAGTATGCTCAGGCATTCTGTCTGAATGGGGAAACATTAAATTCTTTAAAACTGTTTGCCAAGCTTACGATTACAATTCAGATTTGGAATCGCCAATAAACCTTAACAACAACCGTCTCATAGGTTTCGTTTCTAAACGTCTGAATCAAACAAAATCTGCATATTTTTAGGTTGCCTAAGCTAATGCGCATGTGCACTCGAAAGGAAAGAGATCACGACAACCTCACTTAGGGCCGTCTTACACATTATGATCCTCTGGATAATAATTGTCTGATCGCACTGCTCTTCTGAAGTAATTTACAACATCAGTCAATAGTGATCAATGAGTGGCTCCTGTAATAGTAGACGGGGCTTCATTTGCCATATTGACCTTTACACTTTTCCCTATTCAAAACTATAAGAGTGACATGTCTTGTGTATTCTGTACTTTGATTATAAGCTCCGTTTGGTTATAAATATGCATACAGTGAAGATGACGGTCATATAAATATGTAGCTACACAACAACTCAACATTTTTGCTGTCTGTAAAGTAAAATTAAAAGTTAGAATCAAATGAAAATAAACAGTTCCTTATATTATGTTTTCATTTTATTGTTAAGAGTGAAACAACATAGCCAGGGCGATGTGAATAGCTATGTTTCCATTCACCTATTTTTATGCAGATTTTTCATATGTGCATGAAAAAACTGTTGATGGAAACGCCAAGATGTGCATCAATTTTGAATATGCACATAAAAAACATATGCGCATAACTGAATAGGATAAATTTTTATTTTATTACCGCCAGATAATCAGGAAGTGACGATTTTGTCCATTTTAACTCGTTGGATGGAAACTGCTTCATTCACACATCTTTTATGTGTTAATTCAGTTTCACACATAAAGTTAATTCACATTTTTGGATGGAAACATAACTAATGATATTATAAAGTTTACTTTTCTTTGAAGTTTTACCTGTGGTTTCTTCGGGAATTTGTTTTCCATATCAAACTTGCGAAGTCTGAACTTTGAAGAAAAGGATGCTGAACTTTGTCCACCTAATATTAAGAAAAAACCCCAATCAGATATTCGTTTTACTCCATCTACACCGATACGGAGCATTTTAAGATGACAATGGTCTCTTCGGTGTTTTCAAAATGCTCTGTTTTTGGGGCTTGAAAACTCATGGCTAGTGTGGACGGAAGGCGTAATCGTAGCAAAACTTAAGCATTTTAAAACTAAAACACATTAGTGTAAATGGGGCTTCAGTATAGTATAAAAAAACAGAATCAGTTTTTCATTTTTAGGTGAACTATCCCTTTAAAGAAACTGGTTTCTGCATTTCAGCATGACAGTTAAGTGAGGTGTTTATTAACCTTTAAACAGTCTGCGAAGAAATTACAGCGCTAATGCCACAAGCTCAATTGCTGGATGCTATGAATAATATATGATATGTATATGAGTGTTTGGTATTATACCGACGCTGATTAGAGATATTCAGAGCATCTTGTTATTGTCCTCAGTTTCATCACATCGACTGATTAGTATCTTGTATGCCGCTAGAAGTACAATGAATCCCCAAGCTATTGAAAAGATGCTAAATACATGATGATTTGACAGCTAATACACTTATTAAATATTTCGATTTGAGCAAAGTATATTTAGCTTGTTTTAATGTATTCAGGTGGAGACCCGCAGGGCCTGTTTGATGTGAAGCACACAGATGGTGTTTGGGTGGTCGCTGTCAGCAAAACCCTGGACAGGGAGGAGAGAGATTTCTATCTTTTAAACATCACAGCCACCGATGGAACCTTTGTGGCAAAGGCGGCCGTAGAGATCACTGTCCTGGATGCAAATGACAACAGTCCTGTTTGTGAGAAGGCATGATGTGTATATTCATTAGCCCCTGAGCTCTTTATTCTGGACCCTGCGTGGAACTTTTAATGAATACATTTCAGACACATTGCACATACTCACAATTTTCATTTTTAGATAATGACCCCCATTTCTGCAGCGCCAGTTTAAACTGAAATCTGCTTTTGCTTTCAGGATGTGTATGCTCAAGCTGTTCCAGAAGATGTACTCATCGGAAAACACATTCTTCAAGTCTCAGCCACTGATGCAGATATCCAGTCAAATGCAGAAATCACGTACCAGCTAAGCGGCAGTGGAGCTGAATCATTTACAATTGATAGCAAGACAGGTAAAATGAACAAAGCGGAAAATATATAGTCTGCGTTTTTATCCAGAGCAATCTAAAGTGTGTCTTATTCAAGGACATAATGGCGCTGACTCATTGATCACTCCTTCCCATTTTCAAGCCTTACTACTACTGACTTTAAAGTGTCAATAGTTAAAACTAATTAGAGATTTTTGCCATACATACTGTTCTAAAGCTAAATGTGACAGCAGCAATGAAAAAAGTAGATATGCCTTTATATGTACTTAACTAAAGTAAAATATCCATCCATCGCTGACAATTTTAACATAATCCAGAGAAATCACATGCTAGACTATTTGGACATACACCTGCTGATTGCCCCTGTTAACTAGATGGTGATTATACTGTTCGTTTCAATAGTCATAAGCATCCTAAAGAGGTAGTCCAGTGTGTGTTTAAGTGTATATTTAAGGCTAGGTTGTGTTTATAAGATGCGAAGCAATGTGTGCTCATGCTTCATTTGTAAAAGATCAAGTTATTTTTTCATATATCTAACTTTGATTAAATACTGCTGCTCAGCTAGCATGAAAACGACTGTCATATTTCCGCCCTCAAGAGGCTATTATTGATCTGCTAGCATAATGTGCTGTAATTCGCGGATCGGCTAAACGTCACCAGGAAAAGTGCCACACCTCTTATTCAATTCAATTCAATTCAGCTTTATTTGTATAGCGCTTTTACAATGTAGATTGTGTCAAAGCAGCTTCACATAAATGGTCATAGTAACTGGAACAGTGTGGTTCAGGTTTTAGTGTTTAAGTTCAGTTCAGTTTAGCTCAGTTCAGTGTGATTTAATCATTATATATATATATCACGCACTGTGCCTCTGCTGTGTATATACTGTCAGTGTAGCTGTTAGCTGTATCAGTTTGAGCCTGAATCAGACAGAAAATTAAAAGGATGCAGATAAACCTTATGCCTACTCTCTAAAATAAAACCTGACAAGCGTTTTTCACATATATTGGGGTTATAAGCAGGTGTAAGTAATATGAAACATTCACATGTCTTCTGTGAGTTCATTATTTCAAATGTAGAACGCAGGGAAAAGCTGCTGCATAGAGAGACACTGCAATGCTGGTAAAGACTGTGGGTGTTTACAGCAGTTTGACTGATAAATATGAATTTGTAGCTAAATTGTTAACGGTGCCAAACAGCATTTCCCATTGTTTACATCCTTGTTTTTGTCCTTGCTACAACATACCATTAACATTAGAAACTATGCATGTAATAGATAAATTTTAAACAAAATGCTTACAGGTTGTGGCTCACAATCCAAAGCTTTTTCTAATATGGTTGGAGCTGCTCCTTCTTAAAGGAGTTTTAGCCGAATCCAGCACTGAATTGGTAGAGATTCTGGATCTGGATCCTTTATCAATTGCTAGCTATATATTTTGTATAATTCTCTGGAACATAATTAAAATTAAATTGTAAGCACTTCTCTCTTTGTGTCATGTCCTGAAGCCCACATTCAGAAACAGAACAAGATTTGTGGAAATAGCAGTGTTTGGTCAGCATACTAGCTTTCTCTGCTATCCGCTTGTTAAGTGTGACGAGATTGATGTCCAGAGATTGATGTGTTTGCTTTGATTTTATATAAAATTCCCTTTAATGTGTGATAGGACTTAAAAGTGGCCATAAACGAATATTTTCTCAATTCAAATGAGTAGCAGCCAAAAACAGCATTCTATACGTCACCGATACAGTACGTCATGACTTAACATGCCGATAACGTTACAGCACCTCTGGCCACACCCATTCGCTGCACAGAGTGTATGCACGTGGTGAATGCGCGTGACCTAAAGCGTTTGTGATCTCACTAGCCCGAATGTATGTTTTGTAGTCTCCAAACATTAGCTGTAGGCTTTGCTATCCTAACTCTCTAAAAGCCAATGTCACCTTTTGTATTGAACTTTAAGCATATTACCTTACAGTGATGTTATTCCTGTTCACACAGCTACATTACACATCAACTAAAATTTAAAATATTCTATTGTAGTGGCCCACCCCTTTCAATTCTTAAAAATTTTAAAATAAGCATTTGTATTATATAATATTTTCATAAAAAGGAAGTGTTAACACTTAAAACTAGGTGTTCTAATGCATCTCTATGGATGGGACAGTACATTTGACATTGTTCTCTTTGCTGGCTGCTTATTTTAGTCCCATACAATTCCTTTTTTTTCTATTTTTGAAAGTCATGAAAACACTGTCATAAGAGTTTTGATTTTTTTTGATTGAGCAAATCGGAATGCAAACAATTATTTGTAGTACATTCCCATTCACTGCTCTCTAGGTTTACTCATCTATGATGACTTCCCATGCTGAGAAATCCAGATAGTGAAAATGGTCTATTGTAGTAATGATTTCACAGTTGTAATACCTCAGACACAAGATTTCAGTGAAAATACAACGATGGAAGAATGTCAACATCACCAAAGTGCTCTGCTAGTGTTCTTTTCTGCAGTGAAATACAAAAAAGGAGACATAACATTATAAAAAAAACATCTGATTGTATTTGTATCCTCTTTCAGAATTTCTGCAGGTTTCACAAAGTTAAATTTAAGACTTTTAAAGACATTTTTAAGACCATTATGAATACAATATTAGACTTATACAGGGCTAAATGCTAATATCCCTATGCTAATATATGCTTTTAATATCCCAGTTAAATAAGATTTTCACTTGATCTATCAAAAAATTATTAAAATTTAATACATTTATTCATACAACAATAATAATGTTGTTTACATTTTTTTAAATACATTTTCAAAAATATGCATTCAAAACCCTATAACCCTTACCAAGAATACAACAAAACATAGCTGTGAATTACTTCAGTCTACAATAATAATAATTTAATAATAAAAAAAATATAGGTCAGGTCAGTATCCTCAGCAGTAAATAAATGAAGAACCTTTAAGCAAATGTTACTGTATGGAAAGTAATTAATTAATTAAAAAAAAAATAAAAATATAAAAGTTTTATTGAGATGGATTGTTGGTGGTTGAATGGGTGTTAATGGCCAGGTTGGGCAGATATACATGAAAAGGAAAATTAAGAGCAGTTTTTTCTTTTTTTTTTAAATATTTTAATACAGTACTTAATACAGTACTGTATTGTATTGTATTATATTATATTATAATAAGTTATTTCTTAGCCACAAGTTTTAAATAAATTGTCAAAACAAGTAAACCCTAGTTGTATGCAAACACGCAACACATACAAATCTTCAAAAATTATAAAACTAAATGTATGCACAACAGTATGTCCATGTTAGTGTGCTTACCATATATGGACTATAAATACACAGATAATTTTTAAACAAACATTATTGTAAAGATGACAATTAAACCATATTGGTAAATAGGGTTATGAATAGAGTTCTGTTAAAAGTTCTATTGAAATGGATTGTTAGCCTGATTGGATTGCTTTTTATGGACAAAGGAAAATTAAGACCTGTTTACAATTATTTAAGACCTACTAGACAACATTTCTGTCAATTAAAGACTTTTTAAGACCCCACTGACACCCTGATAGTGTATCCAATATGAAAGCATGCAGCATTTATTTGCTGTTCTTGCTTTCATTGACTATTTTGGCTATTATGTCAGAGAGAACATTTATGATTTGGGATCTTGCTCAATCAGGAGGCTCCACATATATATTTTTTTCACAAATATAAAGTGCTGATCCTTAATATTGTTTTATTTTTATTTTTCTAGGTGCAGTGAAAACACTGGCAACTCTGGATAGAGAGGTAACAGATGTGTACAACCTAACAGTGCGTGCAGTAGACAAAGACAATCACTTCTGCCAAGCTTCTTTGCTCATCACAGTTGAAGATGCAAATGACAACGCACCCAAATTCACATCTGACCCACATCATGTGAGCATTTATCAGAATACACAACCTGGAACATACGTGGCACGACTGGAGGCCTTCGACGCAGATATCGGTATGAACAACTTGTTATTTGGTAACTTTGTTTGTGCATATTGCCTCAAACCATCATGAAGAACGATTAGTTGCAGTAGATACACAATCATCGCTTCCAATAGTGTGTATCTTGATTGAAGCATCAGTAGTTATTAGTCTGTGCCATCTTTTGCTCTGTGTGCCATTTCATTACTCTCATCTCCACTCAGCATGCAGCTTTCCCTGACTGCAGAACAATTGAATATAATCTTCTCATACACGATTGTCTTAGCTCCCTGTGAAGGTAACAATTACTTTCTCACAGTGGTCCACACTCTAATTCAGACAATCTGAACTTTTCTGCCTTCTGGGCAAACTTCAGATCAGGTTTTTTTTTTTCATGGCATTTTAAGCATTGTTGTTTTTTTGTAATGTTTTAATCATTTTTATTGAGTTTACAGAACACTATTAAGTAAAAACAGAAACCTTTTATGGCTATTCATTTTTAAATTACCTGGCCTTTAGGGTCCTGGAAAAACATATTTTTGATTATGGTTTCTACACTGTACAAAATTATATGACAAAAGCTATGACAATTAAACCTTTTTAATGTTATTTTAACTTATTTTGATAAGTTAATCAGGTTTTAACTATATTTTTTAAATAAGTTCAAGTTTAACTTAACATTTTTAATCAGATTTTTAAATATATATATTAAATATATAATTTTTTTATATTTTTAAAACATTTTAGTTGGATTGGTTTAAGTTGAGATGACTAGAAAATGTCATTTAATTCAACTAAAGATTTAAGGGAGCAAGATTTTGTTACAGTATAAGTGCAAGTTTTTGACAATGATACAGTTATGATCTCCATGTAAACAATGATTTTATGAAAATGATGACGCCACATGATGCATTTTATGCATTTAGACAACCGCATAAAGTAGTTTTACAACCAAAAAGTAGTTGGAAAACCCAATAAATAGTGCCAAAACAGACATATTATATTTATTTTCAAAGTGACATTGCCAGCTACTAGCCTGGCATGCATGTTGTAGCATTTTTGGATGTGTCTGAGGATTTGTGTGAATAGTATCTGTTTTGGTTTAATTCATTTTAATGGCAATGATGCCTGTACACAAAGCTAGCCAAAAACAGAGATGATAAAAAAGGTTGTACTGTACATTGATATCATGTGCAGTACCTGACAAAAGTCTTGTCATCGATTCCAGTTGTAAGAGCAACAAATAATAGCTTGACTTCTAGTTGATCATTTGTAAAAGTAGCAGAAGGTAGATTTGTCAATGAATCATCTGTTGAACTGCATCCCAATCATCACAAATACTGCAGAAGACCTATTGGAACCCGCATGGACCCAAGATTCTCACAGAAATCAGTCAAGTTTTGTGAAGAAAAGATATTGGTTTGGGATTAATTCAGCATGGGGCATACAAGAGATCTGCAGAGTGGATAGCAACACCAACAGCTTGAGGTATCAAGACATTTGTGCTGCTCTTTACATTACACGTTCATTGCCATTCCAGATGACTTAATATTATTAATAAGTTATTGGAGTCATTGCAGAGATGTATGTATCTAGGTGTCCAAGCTCATGGCCTTTTCCCCTACACCATGACTTTATTTTCTAAACTGTACATTATTTCTGTTAAGTGATAAGACTTTTGTCTTAGCAAAGTCAGACCTTACTGTCCTAATTAAATAGTAAAAAATCATGACATGATCACAATTTATTTTGGTAAAACAAGTGTAATCTGTAGGCTTTTGCCTTTCATAATAGCCATTCTGATACCAAATGATCAACTTGAAATCAAGTTATTTTTTTGTTCCTAAAACTTGGATAGGCGACAAGACGTTTTTTCAGGTATAGTGTAGATGTATCTCCAATTGCTTATTACCAATCTTCCGAACAGTTCCAAGTGGAATTAAAACTGCCTATTCCAGCATGTGATTGCCTTCATTAGACTCACAAACTCAATTCATTGTTGCATTGTTACTCTTCAAACATCTTAGAAGTCACTTGTCTTGCAAAGTCTATCATGGCCACTAATTATTAAAATGAACAACTGCCCAACTGGGTGTCTTGTAATTAGCAGTTCTTCATAAATTAACATCAGGATGTGTTTGCGTTTATTTGCTGATTGGAGGGAAGATTGTGAAGTGATTCATTCTAATTCACTCAGCTGTCACTGTAGGATTTTTATAGGCGTTAATTAGTGACAGGCAATCAGGCTGGACGACCGGGCGACACCAACAACAAGGTCTGCTTTCATTGCACTAATGAGCATATGAACAAGTATGCATTTGTGTGTAAACCACAAATTAACCTAACAAGAAGCAATTAGTTTAAATTTCTGTCATTCTGCCTAGTTATGTCATGGAACTGACTCTGTTTTCCATACTTTGGGCTTCATGGCAAATCAGCATGTGTCCATTTGAGCCCACTCATGACTTAATGATATAATGATATTCTTCTGCCCACTTCTACTCAATATAGATCAGTTTTTACATCTGTTTACACTTCTTAGCATATCTTAATTTTAAGCTCCATTTTTGTCAGTAATGATCATGAAGTCAGTTACAAAAAATATTGCTGCTCTTTTAGAATTAATTCATTTAGAATAATTCAGCAATTTATATTTGATACTTAAAGTTTTTTTACATGTCATCTCCGCTCTCATCCTTTAGTCAGTCTTTGGTCAAGCTCATGGTTTGCTGGTTTACATTTAGAAATACAAGTGCATCCATGTGAGAGGGATGCAGGTTGCTCTTTGTCTTGTTACAGTGTTGGCGGCCAAAGAAAATTTCTTTCACTTCGTGTGCTGGTGGGAGGGATAGCAAGAAATGATATCGCTACTGTAGCTTGGATAGTAGAGGAAACTGATGTTCATTACATTACTCTGTGTTTCCTATAGGATTTTTTTTTATACAGATCTACCAAACACCTATGTCATTATTTCAATCTCTTTGCTTGCGCGCAAAATTATTAAAATAAAGTCATAATATGCAGAGCAATAGACCTTTATCTATAAAATTTACTTATTGAAACTATGTTCATTTTAACTGAAAGCTACGTCGTGTTTGCTGGCCTCACACATCACGCACCTGTCAGTCAGTCAGTCTGCACGTAACCTGGGTTAAACAAATGACACACACACAGTAAAGTTTGCGCTGTTATAATTCACGTACCTTTTAATACGTTTTGGTGTGATTATAACCAGCTATTAAAAAACACGACTGAATATTTGAATGAGAAGCATTCAAACAATGTAATGTTTTTTGGTGTGGTGCCCCGCCACGGAAGAATTAATGTAGCGGAAACCATGTAACTACCATTCGAGAGGATTCCCTATAGTGTTAATCTTGATAATGTGAATAATCTTGAATTTAATCCTCAGTTGTAGTTGAAAGCTTTAACCTTGGATCGTAATGTTTGATGAATACATTTGTCCTTTTTATGTCATTTATTGTAAATGCACACTCAAGTAGTCGATTGCTTCTGAGAGCACCGACTAGTGGTTGAAGTAGTCGATCGCTCGTCTAGACGACTAGTCTATGCAAGCCCTAATATATATAGGTTAATTTCATTATTGTATTGTGATTTTATTTGAATGTGTTACCCTGATGATGTTTTGACCATATTATGCACATTTTTATTTTCACAGTTTATGCACCATCTGAGTTTTGGCCTGATTCATCATGTGGATATTTCGTCCCATGTGCCAATGTTTACAACAAATTTAAGTAGATACATTTTACAGCGAGTGCTTTGAGAGGTCTCTCTTGGCGTATTTTATACAGCTCTCGCATATTAAACCATAATATGTTGTTCACTGCCAAAGAATTCAACCATTTCTAAAAATGTAGATTAAAATAAAAAAAGGCATTGGGGAACTCTTTCAACACTGAAACAGCCACTTTAAAAACAACATACTCCTATGAATGTAAACTCTAGAAAACAATAATAAAAAAGCAACTCTCAGACAGCCCGCTTTCACCAGCAACCACCTGTTCCCAGGCTAGACATCAGAGACAAAGCCCCATGTGCTACAAATCTAACACAGACCATCAGAAATCTAATGCAGAGCTCCAGAACTGACCTTTCCTAATGCTATTTCTTGCTTCCTTATCTCTAGGGATGAACGGTAAAATACGTTACTCATTTGAGGACTCTGCAGGAGGTTTGTTTTCAATTGAGGAGAGCTCAGGAATCATCAGTTTAGAAAGATCCCTGGACAAACAGATGAAGGCCATGCATGTTTTGAGGGTACGTGCGACAGACCAGGGCTTTCCCCATAGACTCTCCTCTCTGGGCTCTGTGGTGGTGACAGTGCTGGATGCTAATGACCATCCACCGGTGTTTGAGCGAAGGGAATACATTTCCACAGTTCCGGAAGATGTTACAATAGGGACTAAGCTACTGAAAGTCTTCGCTGCAAGCAAGGACAGGCAAATGACTTCCCAAATAACATACTCTTTCAGCAGCGGCAATGAGCAAGGAGCTTTCCGAATCGATTCACAGACAGGTGATGCACCCATCACAGAGTTCTGACAGCATGACACCAAAAGGATAGGACTGTAGTGTTGAAGATTCAGTGAATGTTTGTGTTTGCAGGTGACATCTTTGTGATGGAGCCCCTGGACTATGAGGAATCTTCACAGCACTATCTGACAGTGAAGGCCACTGTCGGTGGGAAGCAGTCACTCAGTGACATGGCTACTGTTAGCATTCACCTCCAAGACATCAACGACAACAGCCCTGTGTTCAGCCAGAAGATATACTCTGCTGTAGTCAGTGAGGACACCAGACTTGCAAGCACAGTGTTGACGGTAAGTGTTTTTGCATATATTTGCATTTAGTTACACCGTATCTTCTAAGTGGCCTATAATGTAGGCAGTTATGTTTTAATCATGTCTCTTGTTCTCTCTACACTTCCATATTAAAAATGGTCTGTTTTTTGTTCCAGTATAGTGTTTGTACAATTATAAAAAAAACTTTCAGAATATTTTATTAATGGCATGCAACATGAGCAACATGGCGATGACACTGAACACACTTTCAATCATTAAGAACAGCTTACTGGAGCAAGTGCATAACAAAAATACTCAAAGCCACTCAGAAAACATTAGTGCCCAATTAAGGAATCTAGATACTTAAAAATAAAGAACACACTTGTATGATGTTTAAAACAGATTGCCAGATTGAACTTTCTGAAAAAAGGGTTTACTTCTGCTGGAAAAACATCTTTGAACTATGATTGGGAGTGATAACTCAAGTGGACGTGGCTTTGTGGGTCCACCCTTTTTAACCTTTCAGTTAATTTTGTCATTCAGCCTATATAGATCAGGCATATACAATTATCTGCTTAAGTGCATTCTTAATCGATAGTAACAATGACACTGTTTTTAAATGCTGTACAACTGCTTGCTTTAATGCAATATACTGCATTAAAGGTGCTGTATGTAAGTTTTTGACTCTTCTAAAGCATAAAAATACCATAATATATTTGCAGATATTTAAAAAAAACATGCTAAGTGAACATATTTGTTTATCTGAAAAACAGTGCTAAAGTCAGATATTCTGCTTTGAAAATGTCTGTTTTGTGCTGAAACGTCTGTCATTCATTTTGGACATTTAATCTGCAACTTTAGCCAATTAAATTTTAGCACCCTGCGTTGCCTTTTGTGGAAAACATCAAATTTCATCCATTCAGTCAGAAAGGCTCTCAAAGTGTGCATATGCGACCGGAACTCAACCTTCAGTGTACAGTAGCAGCCTCTGAAATGAGACGCAGATTTAGAGTTGCACATTAAGGTGGTTATTAATTTGCAAATAATATAAATATTAAAATTGTAAACATTTGGTGAGCAGGTTACATCATAACCTTGTATCCTAACAACACGCTACGTTTGCACCAGATGAAAAATGACAGAAATTTAAATACAGCCATTCACAGGCACAAAATAGTGCAAAATGGTAAGGTTTATAATCTAATACATATTAGACCTCTTAAACATTATTAAATGTAGATGCTGAATCACTGACTGACGGTCAAGATATGAGGTAAACTATCTGCTGCTGCTTTTAGTAGTATGGCAATAAATGTCATGTAAAATGACATTCAAACTCACAATATTAGCATTTAACACTGAATAAAGCACATGAGGGGTACCTGAGGTGATCATTGTCATAGTTATCTGTTGTTTAGTTGCAAGAAATAGAATATTAGTTTCAAAAATATAAATTTCAGGTGTTGGTTAAATATTCTTTCTATCAGGTGCCGTTGCTTTTATTTAGAACACTGTTTAAATTAGCCATCAGGCTTGACAGTCAGGCACACTGCTATTGGTGTCGTCAATCTGGCAACCTGCGTTTGTTTTGAACCAAGTGTGCAATACCTAGTTCAACCACTGGGTGTCTAACTTACATACTGCACCTTTAAGTGCTATACATATAAACGTAATGTGACTTCACTTGAATATAATGGTGCCTTTATCACAATCATCAAGTACATACTTGCTACGACTTATGACAAAAACTACCCACAAAGTCTTCTGACCAGTTTGCATTACCATGCAACCACAAAGAACACCTTAGCAACCACACAGCACCACTTTGGTAACCACCACAGAGCACTAGCAAAATGCTAAGTAACCACATACTAACGTGCAAAAACAAATCTTAGTAAGCAGCACAAAGCATACACTTTAAATCTTCTGGAACACCCTGCAAATCCAGTCACTTTGACAACTACTAGAAGATTCTAGTTTGTATCCCAAACACATTAACAATTACCTAAAAGTGTCTATGCTAAAATATTCTTCAGCTTTACCTTTACCTTAACCTTACCGTGGAAATGACCTGTAACCTTATGAATAGTCTAGCACCTCACTGGCAATCATTAAAGCACTACAGCACCTCTGTGAGAACTACCTAGCAACAACCCAGATCACCCCTATCATCCACGCAGCAACATGCTAAAAAAAACTCTGCTGTACACAACTCCTCCATACTGTACATCTGATACTGTGCCAGTGAGTTTTGGGTGAGGAGGCACCACATGAATCTACTTTAAATTAAATCAATGTACACATCTGTGGAAAGTACTTAATGTTGAGTAAACACATTTTCATGAAGTGTAATGATCCCTGTCCTTAGGTACTTGCGAATGATCTTGATGGGCCTTTAAACAACCAAATCCGCTATTCCATTGAAGAGAGCAACCAGAGCTGCCCATTCATCATGGACGCAGTCAGTGGTGAACTGCAACTGGCCCGTCAGTTAGACAGAGAGATGGTAATGCTTTTTTGATTGATACTTTCCCCTTGGATAGAGTGGGTTTTAAAAATACCTATAATTCATTGAGCACCAATTTTTTACACATTAAAAATTTATTTGACCTTATGTTTTGTCTATTACATTTATCCATTGTCTCTGAAAATTTTGTTTGTCATAAAAATGTATTGTATAAGATTTTTTCCATTCTTTGCATCCATAGCCAGCATTTTACTGAAGCTAAAGCCAAAAACTAGAATGTCATCTGACAAATTAATCCACTTCATCTCGCAGCACAGATCACTTTGAATAACAAAGTGCAAAAAATAAAGATAAATTGTGGTAGATGGTTGAGCACCACTGCTATTGTATGCTGGTTTCAATGCCTAATCATATGCCACTCATATGTATTTGTGTGTGTTTACATTTGACATACAGCCAGTAAATACAATATTTACTTTTTAAATTTTTCTTTCTTTCTTTTTTTTTTTTATAAAAAAGCATAACTGAGATCAAAAGCATCACTGCATGAAGGCTGTGCTAACACTTTATAGTAACTACACACTATAAATCATTTATTAAGCATAAGCATCTAGTGAATTCATTATTTGTTAAGCATTAACTCTACATTAATAAAATATTAGTAAGCAGTTTATAACTACAGCTACAAATGCTGTATTCTTGACTTATAACCACATTTATAATGTGCTTATTAATTGTACTCATATTTATGACTGGTTGATTTTCGTTATTAAATTGAGTATTGCATTATTTACAAACCATTTGTATTTAAAAGTGGTTGGAGGTTTTTAAGATAATTGAGAATGAGTTAGTAAATGATTAATAAACTATTGAAATCAACATTTATATATCTTATTATTCAGGCATATAGTAATGGTTACTATGTATGTTAATAAATGCTTTATTAAATCAACTTTATGCAGTTTTGTGACCTAATCTAAATTGAGGACTATTCAATCAATCAATCAATCAATCAATCAATCAATAACCTTTATTTGTTACATTTATGCTTTAGAAATGCCATATAAATGACAATTAAAGCCTCAGTATCAAATGAACAATACATCTTTACACTCTTATCTAAAAAGTAAATTTATTGTTTAGTTTAAACATTGCTGAATAACAGGAGTATCAAAATACGACATAAAATTAAATAAATATACAAATTTAACAATATAATAAGATGCATTGTTTAAACTGCAGTTTTTTTTATTTTAGATGAGGTTGCCAAGATTTATTTTTTTATTGATATAGTTTCACTTGTGTATTTTCAAACGAACAGAAGTGAATAAAGTCATTTATTTTCTTTTTTTCTGTTTAGAATTTAACTGACCGTTTAATTGTCATTTATAAGGGATTTACAAAGGATAAATAGTCCTCACTTTGGATTAGGTAACAAAACTGGATGAAGTTGAGGTAATAAGGCATTTATTAACATACAAATTAACTATTAGTATATGCCTAAATAGGCGACGCAGTGGCGCAGTAGGTAGTGCTGTCACCTCACAGCAAGAAGGTCACTGGGTCACTGGTTCGAGCCTCAGCTCAGTTGGCATGTTCTCCCTGCGTTCGCGTGGGTTTCCTCTGGGTGCTCCGGTTTCCCCCACAGTTCAAAGACATGTGGTACAGGTGAACTGGGTAGGCTAAATTGTCCGTAGTGTATGAGTGTGTGTGTGAATGTTTCCCAGAAATGGGTAAAAATGTGCTGGATAAGTTGGCGGTTCATTCCGCTGTGGCGACCCCGGATAAATAAAGGGACTAACTGACAAGAAAATGAATAAATGAATGAATATGCCTAAATAATAACATATATGAATTTTAATTTGAATAGTTTATGAATCATTTACTAACTCATTCTGAATGATCTTAAAAACAACCAACTATGCTTAAAAACTGTTATGCAATACTTAATTTAGTAATGAAAAATAAATCATTACCAAATTATGACAGTACCTTTATTAAGCACATCATAAATGTGGCTGTAAGTCACGAATTCAGCAATTGTAGCTGCAGTTATAAACAGCTTACTAATGTTTGTTAATATAGTTAATGTTTAACAGGTAATGAATTCACTATTTGCTAACGCTCCATAAATGGTTCATAGTGTATAGTTATTATAAAGTGTTACCAGATATTATCTATTAAAAAAATTTTGATTAGTGCGCATTGGATTCAGCGTGCAAGGTTTCTGTACATGATTGATTTTTAGGATAACGAATACAAAAAGTGCACATGAAAACTCAGTGTGCAAAGAACTTAAGTGTTGAGATTTCAGTCATCTTTGTCAACATACCTTGTCAATAGACTTGTCATTAATGTAAAATAAAATAACATTTTTGGTTTAGTTGCCAGACTGTGTATACATTCATCGGTTGGTACACCTTGCTAGTAGACCAATTTTGTCTTCGAAACGACAAGCTGATAGCAACATTAGTCTAAGATTTTAGTCCATATTGATTTCATTGTCATTAAACTTGTTCTTAGCCTCCAACTCAGGGTTGCACCAACTTTTTCTTATAAAAGGCCAAAAACAAAGTTGATTAAGGGTGGTGGGCCGAAGGTAAATATATACCAAACTATATTACATTACAGTTGCCATTGGTGATTTCCTAGTTTATTTAATATTTAAAAATAACTAGAAAACATTGCTTTATAGTAACTAATGCGGTACATATTGTATAATGGTATAATGAACTTATTACAGTAAAAAAAACAATCCCATTTATAACAGAATGGAGTTACACTAGTCAAGCTACGCTTGTTTTTACCTTGATTTGCTTGCCAATGTCTTTTGCAATGTTCTTTATTCATTGAATGACAGTGTTTATAAAAATCAGATTCAGAATTTAATTGAATCATTTATTTTCAGTTTGCTTTTTTTTGTTTTACATTCAGTTTTCAGGAATGAAACAAACAAACAAACAAACTAATAAAGTTGTTAAATTAGAAATGACGATTTGTGTTAAAGGCATTCGCCACAACTCCATCATTCTCATGTGGGATGGTGGGCCAAATCAAAGGTTACCATGGGCCAACCATGGGCCCTAGTTTGAACAGCTCTGCTCTAACTCGCTGGTCTCAGACCCATTTCCTGTAAGGGAATAGCCAGAGCTCTACACAGCTTTGCTTCAATGCTAGTTAAACACACTGGATCCAGGAAACCAAGGTCGATAAGATTACTAGAAGTTTCCAAGCAAGCATCATTTAGAGCTGTTTGAAACTAAACTGTGCAGAGAACAGAGCCAGGAATTGATTTTAAGGCTGTTGCTTTGACTTAAACTAGCAAGAGAAATCAAATAATTTTTAAGGCAATGGTCAACAATATACGTGATTTAATCACACATGCACATGATTTTGTTGAAATTTAGGCAGATGTAAAAGTTCCTGTCAAATGCAAGGATAAATGAATTTGTTACGTGTTTTTTTCTTGTTTAAATTAGGTAGCGAGTTACATGCTGACCGTGATGGCCTCCGACAGCGGAAGTCCCCTCAAATCCGACAGTGCAGCAATCAACATTGCTGTGTCTGATGTGAATGATAATCCCCCTGTCTTCTCTCAGGCTAACTACAGTCTCATCATCCAGGCAAGACCACAGTCTCCTACAGAGTAGAGCAGATAAAACCCTACACACGCATTCCTAACTCCATGCCTGAGTTCTCAGTAAGAGGTGATGGCGAAATCCCTTGAAATGATTCTAGATATTTTTTTTTCCTTTTCTGCAGGAAAATCTACCTTCAGGGACCAGCGTGTTACAGCTCAATGTGACAGACAACGACTCCCTCCATAATGGGCCTCCTTTCTCCTTTATCCTGATAGGCGTAGAAGCAAACCCCTTTAGCATAGACCAGCAGGGTTTGGTTAAGACCGCTGGACCATTGACAAAGGGCCAGTATACACTCCAAGTGCAGGTAAGAAATGAGATTTATTCAGTTCTTCAGGGGAATTTTACAGCTGTGTTTCTCAAAATGGACTTTATAGACCCCTGTGGCTCCTTCACAAACATCCAGCGGACAAGAAACCCCACATGTGGTCAACAAAGACACTACTATTTTCAACTAGTTTTAGCATGTACAGTTGCGTCTCTTGTGACCACTTGTTTCAGATTTCATTCTGTAAAAAGTGATTTTTTGACTTTACAGTTCTTAAAAAAGTGAGTTGCCATAAAATTATTATATGTTAAATGAAATAATCTGCTAATCTTCAGTCAGTAATCGCTCTATGGCTGCGACAATAAAGTAGCTAATCATATTTTACAGACCCTTCTCTCTTGTTTCATCATAATCTTCATCACTTCAACAGTACTACTACATAAACACAGAGATGTTTATGGCTCTTTTGAGAGGGAATGAAAAGAATGTGAATGGCAGCTATGATTTTTATTTTAATACCTTATTCTAACACCTTATTTTTGTTGTACTTTCTCACAACACGTGCCATAAAGATCTAGAGTTCGTTGGATGGCATCTATTTGATTGAATATTAGCAGTTCAACAGTCCAAAAACACCAGCTACTGTAATCTCTACAGTGTTTTGGGGCTGTTGGAATAAATTAGATCTCAAGGTCAAATCATTTTAGACCCTCCTTGGCTATTTAGCTCTGTCTGGTCGAATCTGATTGCTGAAACCACATATATACTGAGTAAGCATTACATATTAGTTTAAAGTTTATAACCATTAAGAACTTAGGGTACACATAGTATGCTTTCATATTCATACTAAATAGAACATGTTTTCAAGTGTTGTTTTAACATATTATAAAGTAGCAAAATATGCAATGTGATTTTACATTTAAAAAATTGATTGAAAGAACATTAAAGCAGACCGAAGAAAAATCATATGTATCATCAGAAAATCTTAAAAATATTTATCATCAGGAATAAATGAGGTAGGGGAGAGTGAAAACAAAAGTACTATTTTTTTATTTTTTATAAAAAACTCATTTTATAAGATAATATTTTTAGAGGAAATATAATTTTGCTCACAAGAGTGGTCCATCAAATGCCGGTGTTATTTTTGATCAGCGTAGGACAGCTCAAACATAACTTCACTTTAAACTATACTAAAGTTGCATGTTACTTTTGACCCCATAGGCAGGGATGAAAGTAACACATTTGGGTCAAAAGTAACACAACAATTTTTACTAGATTTATTGGCTTAATCTTGTAATGTTAACTTCAAACATATTTTGTCCTTTACTTTTGCAAAAAAAAAAAAAAAAAAAGCAATCCAACAATGCAAAATGTGATTTTTTTTCTACAATTTTTGAATATTTTATTATTGTTGGCAATATGCAATAATTTTATAAAAATTGTGAATCCAAAGTCTAATGTGGAAGTGAAAAATAAGGTCTAAATATTAGCATTCATTTATTTTATTTTCAGCTTAGTTCCTTTATTAATCTGGAGTCGCCACAGCGGAATGAACCGCCAGCTTATCCAGTTTGTTATCCTACATTTTTTTATGTAGCGGATGCCCTTCCAACCACAACCCATCACTGGGAAACATCCACACACACTCATTCACATTCATACACTATACCATGGACTGTGAGGGAAACTGGAGCACCCAGAGGAAACCCACGTGATCACAGGGAGAACATGCAAACTCAAGAAAGAAATGCCAACTGACCTAGCCGAGGCTCGAACCAGTGACCTTCTTGCTGTGAGGCGAATGTGCTATCCACTGCGCCACCCTGAAAATTAGCTGTGGAACAAAAATAACAGTGTTACTTTCGTCCCCCGATTGAACTATTGCCATTTAAACCTGATTTAGTTTTAAACTGAAAAACTCTGATATCGCAAACTTAAGGATGTGTTATTGCACATTAACCTGCAGATTGATCATTGATGTGACACATGAAAAGAGAAACAACTTCTAATAGGGAAAAAAGAATAGCAACAATAATTTACTTTCTGCACTCAAAAACTGAATTTTGGAGCTAATCGCAGGACATGGTCGCAGCTCCAACGAGGATTGCATGCTGAATGTGCTGTTATAGCCTGGAAATCAAATGTTGTCAGGGCTCCAAGAAAATTGATTTGTTTCTTTCACCCTGCTCTCCCCTACTTTGGAAACACTTTAAACTCATGATAAGATTTCTTGGCTCAGATGTGTTGGATGAATAATGCTTGATTATACTTGTACATCGAGAATGGCATTAAGGTGTACATGCCTAAAAACACATTTTGTATGAATCAAAAACATACATAATTCCAAGAAATGCCTGTTAGTGGAAGATTCCATTGTGTTGTAAGGTCCTAAAGATTCACGTGTTGAAAGCGCCATCTTGTGTTAAACAAGTGTCATAGCAAGCAAGCGCAAATACTTTAGCTGACTTTCTATCCACAATGGCTGATCTATAACGAGTCAAGTCACCTTTATTTTTGTAGTAATTTAAGCAAGGTAGATTGTGGTAATGTTGCTTTACAAAGATGAACAGCAATACTGTGCAGAAATGAGCAATTAAAAAAAGGTTTTTTTTTGTGAGATGTTAAAAATATCAAACACTAATATTAATTTACTTTAACTTCAATAATTTATTTATATATTTTAAAGGGACAGTACACCCCAAAATAAAAATCTGGTCATTGTTTACTCACCCTTAACTAGTTCCAAGCTGTTGAACACAAAATAATATATTTTGGAAAAAGCTGAAAACCTTTAATCATTGACTGAACATCCATGGCAGGAATAGTGAATACTATAGAAATTAATGTTTAACAGTTTACATATTTCTTCAATATATATATATATATATATATATTGAATATATATATATATATATATATATATATATATATATATATATATATTTTTTTTTTTTTTTTTTCATTTATATTACGTCACATTTTATAATATATTTACACTATAATTAAAACATATAGAGAGAGACATAATACTTTCCCAATGCTTTATTCAGTTACAACAATTAAGCAAATTATTTTATGAATAAAAAATTCATATTATTAATGAAAGGTTTAAAATGTCACTGCTTTGATTTATCAATAATCAACTGTTTTCATCCTTGATAATAATAACAGTTAAATTAAAGACATTTTGAGCACCAAATCTACTTATTTCTTAAAGATCATCGATGTGATTTGATTTAGACAGAATACTTGAACTGGTCTGACACTTTCAATTTACTAGAACTTTTATATTATGCTGTTTTAGCAAAATCTATATTATAAAAGCACTATAGAAATAAACATGAATTTAATTAATATCAGCTGAAAATTCAGACTAGACAGCACTTGGATAAATTGTATTTTAAAATGCGTGAATGCTTGAAGTCTTAAGTTTCATATGTCACATGAAAGCTGAATAAATATTATTTTTGTATGGTGTATGGTTTATAGGGTAGGACAATGTTAAGCTGATTTACATTTGAAATCTTTAACCAGAGGGTTAAATAAATATGTACAAAATCGTCTGTAATGTTGTCTGAATTAAGCTATCAACAATGCATATTACTAATCATAAATTTATTTTTTTTGTAGAAATGTACATAATTTCTTCATGATCTTCTTGTAATATTTTAATGATTTTGCCACAAAAAAGAAATTGATCATTTTGACCCATACAACATATTTTTGGCTTTGTCCTAAATTAAATATACCCAGCGCAATATAAGACTGGTTTTGTGGTCCATGCATGGACACATTTATTAAAATAGGATCATTTTATTGTGAGATTATTATACAAAATAAATGTTTACATGTACTTTTGATATACAGTTGAAGTCAAAATTATTGCCCCCCTGAATTATTAGCCCCCCTGTTTATTTTTTCTCCCCCGTTTAGCGGGGAGAAGATTTTTTTCAACACATTTCTAAACATAATAGTTTTAATAATTTATCTCTAATAACTGATTTATTTTATCTTTGTCATGATGATAGTACATATAATTCTACTAGATATGTTTCAAGACACTTCTATACAGCTTAAAGTGACATTTAAAGGCTTAACTAGGTTAATTAGGCAGGTTAGGGTAATTAGGCAAGTTATTGTATAATTATAGTTTGTTCTGTAGACTATTGAAAAATATATAGCTTAAAGGGGCTAATAATTTTGACCTTAAAATGGTTCGTTAAAAACTGCTTTTGTTCTAGCCGAAATAAAACAAATAAGACTTTCTCCAGAAGAAAAAATATTACCAGACATACTGTGAAAATATCCTTGCTCAGTTAAACATCATTTGGTAAATAAAAGAATAACCAAATCATTACTGTAAATGCTGTAAATTCCAAAAAGTTTTATTGGTAATGTATTTTAAATGTAAAAAAAAAATAAAAAAATAAGGTATTGTAAAATATTAAGTGCTTAAAATATTCAAATTCTACAAAAAAAATAAATAAATAAAGGAAAAGCTCACCAAAAAAATATCTGTCATTAATTATTCACCCTTTACTTGTTTCAAACCTTAATGAGTTTCTTTTTTTTCTGTCAAACACAAGAAGATAGATAGAACAATAGAAGAAGATATTTTGAACAATGTTGAACTCAACAGTATGCGTTTTTCCTACTATAGAAGTCAATGGTGGTTTTCAGCTTTCTTCAAAATATATTCTTTAGTGATCGACAGAAGAAAAAAACGCATAAAGGTTTGGAACCACTCAAAGATGAGTAAATAGTGGGTAATTTTTTTTGGAAACTATCCTTGTAAATTAAACTATCCTTTAACAAAATAAGTTTTAAAGATGTAAAACTCTATGAAACAAAAACCCATTTATGAAACATGTAAACTAAACATCATCTCCATTTGATTCCAGGTGTCTGACAATGGAAAACCTCCACTAAAATCAGTCACATTTATCACAGTTCTTGTAGCTCAGGCCAGCATGTTTCCTCCATCTGTGCTTCCTCTCGACATTTTCATCATCCTCCTGGAAGATGAATATTCTGGAGGCACACTGGGAAAAATCCATGCCACAGATCAAGATGAACACGACACACTCGCATTCAGCCTGGACCCACAGTCCCACAGCTTGTTTTATATCATTGGCACAGACGGCAGACTGTTGGCGCGTGAAGGCCTGGACGTGGGTCATTACCAGCTTAACGTCTCGGTCAGCGACGGACATTTTTCAGTTTCGTCCATTGTCAAAGTGAATGTCTTGCAGGTCACAGAGCAGATGCTGGACAGCTCTATCTCTATACGCTTCGCTGGCATCACCACGGAGGATTTTATCCAGGACCATTGGAAAAATTTCCAGAAAATGCTCCGCAGCGTGGCTGGAGCCCGCAGGGGTGCTATCAATTTGATCAGTCTGCAATCTGCTGGATTTGGCAATGGCCTGGATGTTCTTTTGTATTTTGAGAGACCCGGACGAGGCGCCGGTGCACTGGAGGCTCTCTCTCAGAAGATAAGCTCTTCCAGAGGAGCCATCAAGGAGATGACTGGACTGCATGTTGTGAGGGTTTTGAACAGTCGCTGTTTAAGCTCTGAGTGTCCTGATGGCAAGTGTAGACGGGTGCTTCTGTTTAACCAGACTACTATGGGTGCATACAGCACTGCACGAGTGAGCTACATCACACCCAGACATCACATGACGGCCAAATGTCTGTGCACAGGTATGTAGTGTTGGCTTTATAAAGTGTTACAAAAGAATAATAATAAAAAATTTTAAATTAATAATGGCAGCACAGTGGCTCAGTGATTAGCACTGTCACCTCACAGCAAGACAGTAGCTGGTTCGAGTACCGGCTGGGTCAGTTGGCATTTCTGTGTGGAGTTTGCATGTTTTCCCTGTCTTCGCGTGGGTTTCCTCCGGATCCTCTTGTCTCCCCCACAGTCCAAAGACATGCGCTATAGGTGAATTGAATAAACTAAATGTAAACTGTTTGTGAGTGTGAATGAGTGTGTACAGGTGATTTCCAGTACTGAAAAGCACTCATACACACTCATTCACACTCACAAACAGTACTGCATACAACATATGACCGAAAAGTTGGTGGTTCATTCCACTTTGGCGACCTCTGAAATTGAGACTTAGCCGAAAGAAAATGAATGAATAAAACTAATAATAACAGCAAAAACAACAACAGTATGTGCATTAGATTCTTTTTGAATCTTGAAAGATCTGAATTTCTCATTGGGGGAAACATCTGAATCTTAAAACTTGTATTTTATCAATCAGTTCAAACTCAGCACACCTGAAAAAATGGTAGGTGCGTAGTAAAGAATCTGAATTATGATGAAGGTCCAGAGACCTTCCAGAGATTTTATTCAATAAAATTATGGCAAGTATTGATAGTGTGCAAAATTGTTTATATTCTTTTAAAAATGTGCTATTTTAATGGACAGAAGATTTTTTTCAACACATTTTAAACATAACAGTTTTCTTTGTCTTTACCATGATGACAGTACATAATATTTCACTAGTTATTTTGCAAGATACTTATATTCAGTGCAATTTAAGTCTTAATAAATTGGCATAACTAGGCGAGTTAGATTAACTAGGCAAGTCATTGGACAACAGCGGATTGTTCTGTAGACAAAAAAGGCTATTAATATTAAACATAAAATTATTTTTTTAAAACTGCTTTTTTCCAGCCAAACTAAAAGAATGAGAATTTCTTCAGAAGAAAAAAAAAATATTACAGAAAATACCAGCCTGATCTCACAAGGAAACTTTTGAGATTTTACGTTTTTGTCAGTTTAGTGGCTAACTTTAACTTTTAACTTAAGTTCAGTCATATGAAAATGTACGATTTCAAAAAAGACGTGTGGCACCCAATCTCACCCATAAACCCAACCGTCATTAGGGGATAAGCAAATCATATTTAATTATACGAATGAGATCTTATGAGTTCAAACGAATTAGCCACTAAATCAAAATGTTACAAGCTGCCATGTGAAATGTCTCTTGAAAAATAAATAACATTTCACAGGAGAGCTAATATTTATTTGCTTTAACTGTATATAATTGTATAACAATAATATGTACAATAAATACAAAAATAATATTCAGTTTTTCATTTATTCATTTTCTTTTCGACTCAGTCCCTGCAGTGGATGCCCTTCCTGCTGCAACCCATCACTTGGGAACACCCATACACTCTCATTCACACTCATACACTACGTACAATTTAGCTTACTCAAATCACCTATAACCCACACGAACACGGGGAGAACTCCAAACATATGCCAACTGACCCAGCCGAGGCTCAAACCAGCAACCTTCTTGCTGTAAAGCGACAGCGCTACCCACTGCACCACCATGCTGCCCCATTCAGTTTTTCAGTTTATAATCATTTTTATTTTTTTTTATTTTTACAAATTTAAACTATGTTTTGTTATTAGCAATGCTGTAATAATAATAATAATAATAATAATAATAGTAAAAATAATAATACAAATAATAAAAATCTGTATATCTTCTATTCAAATGTTTCTTGTTGATTTTTACTTTATTTGTACTATTATCATTAAACATATTTTGCATAATTTGTTTTATTATGCAAATATTATGCAATTTTACTTTTAAAAATAAACTTTGATTTTTCTCCCAATCGTCTGCTTTTTTAGACAGTAAGTGTCTGAAGCAGGAATACACCTGTGTAAACAGCACATGTCCAGAGGGCTATGAGTGCGTGTCAGGCTTTGGACAAGACAAACACAGCTGCATCTGCACAGGTGCTGCCAAAGTCAAATGCTCAGGTAATTTTCTTATCAGTGTCATCTAGAGGACCAATCACAGCTGCAGATTAAACTGTTCCCTGCTCACTCAATTAATAATCATTTGCAGGCGCTAATGTTAAAAGTGCGTCTAGTGTAAACACACATTCATTAAGTGTAATAAAACAGGGTTCATTCATTCACAGCACATTTAATCATTAGGTGAAGCTGTGTTTACACGCACAATTTAGCACAATGTATTTTCATAATTAATTCAGAAAATGACAGCTTCTCTTAAGTAAGATCTATGAGGCATTTAACAGTAAATCAACTACAAAATAAAAGAAGAGAGATTCTTCAGCTGAGAAATGGGCTTCCTCTATTATATCCTTAATTATATCCTTACCTTTAAAAATGTTCTAATTATTGCTGACTCCCACAACCATGTGTTACACTTCTTTTCTTTAAGGTAATTATGCTTGGCTTTAACGAATTTATCATTACAAGCCATTACATTGATAACTCATTTCTGTCAAAATGCCATCAATCTTTTAAAACCATAATATATTAATATAGCAAATTTATTAGCTTTTCAGATCATTTTGGCATATTGTTAGGGGTGGAAAATATCTGATGTGTACAAAAAAATTGATACATTTAAAAAATGTCTATTTTATGAATATTTAAATTGATTGTCACTAAAGATGAGCAAAGGCTTTAAAACCTTATACCAGATGTAAATGCATACGTCAAATTGATTTTATCATAAAATCACAAAATGAGCAAAGTTTATGACAAAGTTTGATGTAAATGTCAAATAAAGTGTTTAAACATCAATAAAAAAGGCATGCAAGTTAATAACATCTTGAAACTCTGAAAGTCATATACTAAGAATCAGTATGGTGCTACATGTTTCTACCAAAAACTAGCATCTTGCTTTTATGTTCTTAATGTTAATTAACATATTGTTAGCTCAGATATGTTGCTAGTATAAATATATATCATGAATTAATATTGCTAGCATATTGCTAGCCTCAGTGGCGTAAAACAAACTGCGTAGACCCCCTAATATAGTTTATTTTGCCTTAAAAGAATTGACTGCTATAACGGTGTAGTTATCGTTATGTTGTTTTTCAAATGTGAATACAATGAAATCATGCATGTTTGTATGGTTAGCATTTAAGTATGAAATAGCACGTGGCTAGCATGAATGTTATGATGACATGGATTATCATGCTGTTAGAACGTTACAGCATTAATAACAGGAATTAACATACAGCTAGCATGATTTAGCATACCACTAACATGTTTATAGCTTAAATTAGCATTTGTTGTTAACATGTTGATGACATTTACATCTCTTGAAAGTCTAAAAGGATGGTGATGTAACTGAAGAAGTTTAAATAATAAGGTGCCTTACATTGTGCTCCTGTAACTTGGCAGCTAGCACAACTATGCAAGAATAAAAAAAAATAGATTCCACAAATTATAAATATTAATTCAGAAAGTTTACTAAACGTATTCTCTCAGTTCCAGCAACGTTTTGTCACTGTAGGGCAGTGTATGGTGGAAATATCAGTAACATTTCATTACAGGTATTCTGTGCATGACATTTTATAGAATTTTCTTAGGCCTAAAATGATTTAGTAAGACATTACATGTCCCAGACAGTTTTTAAAGGTGTGTAAAGCAGACAGTAGCAACCAGAATCCAAACTAAAATGTCACTTGTATTTATTTTAATTAGTGTGCTACTAACTTCATATTCTTTTACTCTCTTTTCAAAGGAGGATCTTCAATGACATTTAGTGAGAGCAGCTATATTAAATATAGCCTGATGGAAAGTATGAAAGGACTGAAGCTCACGCTCAAGTTAAAAACTCTCTCAACAGAAGGAACAATAATGCTTGCCAGAGGAACGGGCCACAGCATTCTAGAGGTATAAAAGAATATTAGAGCATGGCTTGTATTCATGGTGTTTAATTTGAAGATGCTGTAAGTTTTTGACTCTTCTAAAGCATTAAAATGCCATAATATGTTTGCAGATATTTAAGAAACTAAGTGAACATTCACTGAACATGCTAAGTAAACATTCTTGTTTATCTGAAAAAAAAAAAAATGCTGAAATCAGATATTCTACTATATATAATATGAATATGCGCTCACTTTAGAAATTATATGGTTTTTGATCAAATTATTACATAATAAAGTTATTTAACATTATTAAATGTATATGCTGAATCATTGATATGTGTTAGTGTTAAGTTTAAAGTTAAATTTTAAACTGTTTATTTTATGTTCAAGATCTGAGGTAAACTACCTGCTGCAAAAAATGTCATGTAAAATGGCATTTACTCACATTATTAGCATTTAATACGGAATAAAACACATGAGGTGTACCTGAGGTGATCATTGTTTTCTGTTGTTTAGCTACAAGAAATAAAATCCATTTCTAAAATTTCAATTCGAGGAGTTGGCTAGAACAAAAACTCCTTTTTACATGGAAAATATTCCCTCTAACACGTGCCGTTGCTTCTTAATAGAACATGATTTAAATCAGCCTTTAGGCTCAATCAACAGACTCGCTCCTGTTGGTCAATCTGGCTTGCGTTTGTTTTGATCCAGGAATGTAATACCTTGTTCAACCACTAAGTGTCAAACTTACATACTGCTCCTTTAAAAAGAAACAAAAAAAAAACACTTTAAATGTATAAATAAGCCACATGAGCCTGCTGTTCCTATAGAAAATCTTAAAGAGATAGTTTACCCAAAAATATACTTACTGTACCCTTCATTTTTTGTTTTTACATACGAGTTTCTTTCTTCTGTTAAACACAAAAGCACAGGCGTAGAATTGGCATGGACGGAGGGGACATGTCATACCTCCTCAAAGCCAGATTGCAGTAAAATCATGTAAATTGACTTTTGCACCATGGAATATGATTCATTAATTGTTATTTGTATTATTACATGTGTTTACTGTCATCATTTACTCACCCTTCGCTTCTTCCAAACTTGTTTGAGTTTGTTTCTTTTGTTGAACACGCAAAAAATAAATATATTCCAAAGAAAGCTAAAGTTAATGGTTACAGATTTTCAGCTGTCCTTCAGATATCTTCAGTGTGTAACAGAAGAAAGAATCTCATAAAGGTTTGGAACCACTTGAGGGTGAGTAAATAGTGTGTTAATTTTCATTTTTGGGTGAACTATTCCTTTAAGCTTGGTTAAGATGTTATTGTCATCTGCTATATGTACAGATTAATCTTAATACTGACTGTGTGCATTTCTCAGATAGCAGGAGGCAGACTGCAGTTCCAGTTTGACTGTGGCTGGGGTTTTGCCACAGTCTCTGTGCACAGCGTCCTGGTGAATGATGGACAGTGGCACATGGCAGAACTTGAGGTGAAGGGAAACTATGCCAGGCTGGTTCTGGATCAGCTCCATTCAGCATCAGGCATCGCGCCCGGCCCTCTTCACTGCCTTAACCTGGGTGAGCAGGTGGTGCTAGGTGGACACGCTCAACACCTCGGTTCCAGACGCAGACGAAATCTGCCTGCATCAAACAGCCTGCAGGGCTGCATGGACTCGGTGCTGCTTAATGGACATAGACTGTCCTTGGACTCTGGTGGTCCATTAGGAGTTACTATTGAGGACATGGTGGGAGTTTCTCCGGGATGTTTCGGCTTCACATCTCCAGTCTGCTCCAGTAATCCTTGCCTCAATGGAGGGAGCTGCTTAATGAGGCAGAGTGGAGGTAGACTAAACTGCTCACATTGTAGATTAAAGGAAATGTCATGCAGGAAATATCAACAGGGTCTGTATTAATATATAATTCACACACATTGATGCTTATATATATATATATATATATATATATATATATATATATATATATATATATATGTGTGTGTGTGTGTGTGTGTGTGTGTGTGTGTGTGTGTGTGTGTGTGTGTGTGTGTGTGTGTGTGTGTGTATAGATGATATATCTTCATATAATCATATAGATTATTTGTATAGGTTTTAGTATGGTTTCAAGTGAAGTCAAATAGAGTGTCACTTGAAAAAAAAGAAACTGGCAACAATAATTATAATAATAATATAAATAAACAATCAGCGAAAGATCATTTCCATCTTAGATTCATAAAAGTATTTTTTTATTTTATATCTTACAACTGTGTCTTATCTTTCATTACTTGTTGTGTTTGTCTTTCTGTGGGATTTTTAATTAATTTAAAAGTTAAAAGTTGAATTCATTTATAATGTTAATAATTTTTCTTTTTGTGTGATAGTGTTAATTTATAATTTATGTAAAAATTAAAACAAAATATGTAAAAAAATATAACAATACAGTGTTTTATATTTTCCATTACAGAAAAAGATTGGCATTTTAAATATATTAAAATAAAAAGTTATTTAAAATAATGATCACACTATTTCACAATATTAAATAGGCTATCTATATTTTGCTATAATATAATATAATAAATATAATATAATATAATATAATATAATATAATATAATATAATATAATATAATATAATATAATATAATATAATATAATATTAGGGCTGCAAAACATTGGAAAAAAACAGACATCTTAATATTTTTTTGCAATGCATATTGCGATATTGAGTATGATTTTAGCAGATGAAATCAATAGCTGTATTTGAAAAGAATGAACAAAAATTTTGGACAATTTTGGATGATGATATGACGATTTTGTTGTGGAACTCATCTGCATAAAATGTAATAAGTACAGTAAAGGAAAGTTACAAATAAAATCAAAGCTTTTTGGTTTTTCTGGGAGTCCAAAGTATTCAGGCACACAAACTGAATAATTTATTATAAAATAAATAACACTATATAATCTTCATTGCAGATATACTGCACATAAATAAAATGAATGTTTATTGATGTTACTAAAAATGTAAGTTATCTGTGACTGCATGCTTTAAACTGGCTTGAAATGTGTACATCGTCACCGGCTTAAACACATGCGAATGATACAATTTTTGCTAACTTTAGAGTTAAACTTTGCAATTACTCCCCAATCATGCATGTTATTAACTCATGTGTGTTATTACAGTACATCTTTTTTAACTTCCATATTTATAATGTATAAACTGCCTTATGGTGTTTCTGTATCACTGATATTCTCTCAGGTAACATTTGCAAATGCAGTCCTTCATTCTCTGGGACTCGCTGTGAGGTGAAGATCAGTCCTTGTGACTCAAACCCTTGTCTGTATGGAGGAACCTGCATCCAAAATAACCTGGACTACTCATGTAAATGCCGGGGCAAGTACTCCGGTCAAAGGTACTGCACTGCCAATGTACTGTACAAGTACATTATTGATAATAAAATCTTTCATTACTCTATGTAAAACACTCTCTGTTTGACCGCAGGTGTCAGATAGGTCCCTACTGCAAAGAGAATCCATGCCAAAATGGTGGACAGTGTATAGACAGTCTTGATGGAGCCATTTGTGAGTGTGAGCCAGGATTCAAAGGAGAAAGGTGTGTTGTTATTGCTAGCACTGTGAACATAACAGTACTCTTTTTAAATATCAGGAATTCCACAGGTCATAGAATTTCAGGAATATCATGGAATTTTTTATGTCCATACTATGTGATGTCCATGTAATGTCCAATGTCCATACCAGACATTGAAAGTCAGGGAATATACTGTATATATTGGCCAAGTAAGGATGTTTTCACACCCGCCTTATTTAGTTCGGTTGAATAGAGTTAATGTTTCCTCTTGGTGTGGTTAGTTTGGGCAGATGTGAATGTTGCAATTGCACTTGAGTGCGCACCAAAAGCAGACGAACAAAGTTTCAAACAAACTTTCAGACGAACCCTAGAGCAGTAAGCTTGTGGTAAGAACATGATGCGAACTAAAACAGACCCACCCGCAAAAAGTACTGTGCCTTTTTGGACTAATCCAGCTGTCATAGTCCGATGCGCTGTCCCATCTCATGGGGTGTGGAGAAAAAATATTGGTAGACAGCGCTTTACCAACAATTTAAATAGAGAGAGAGAGAGAGAGAGAGAGAGAGAGAGAGAGAGAGAGAGAGAGAGAGAGAGAGAGAGGGAAAAACATTACCTGATGGATTGTTGGTAATATGTCTGGAAGATGACCATGTCGCAGTTTAGCTAAATTCATGCCTCCTCCTGAAGTGACTTGGGATGCTTGTTTTCCAGCCACAGCTGTGCTTCATTCTCTAAATGTATAGTTTATCTAAAGCAATTTATACAAACTATTTAGTATACTGTGACCAGGGATACAATCAGCAGCGCAGTCATCCCATCATAGTAAAAAGCATCATTTTGTTTCTGCCAGTTTGTTTACTTGCGGGAGCTCCATTGGCATCTTCCCACACGTAATTTCTGACCAATCGCAAATAAGTTTATGAAACACTTTTAATAACATCCAAATGAACCGAACCACAGATTTGAAAGCACCCTAATTGAACGTCTTTGTAATGTCTCCACAACCAGTGTTTAGTGTCATATTTAAAGTCTTAGATTGGTGTAAATAAAAAAATCTTTTTGTAGCATGAATTAGCAAGTTGCTAATATAACATGAATTAGCATGTTTGTAGCAGGTTTCTAACATAGCTCCTAAATTTCCAGCATAAAAAGCATATTGTAGCATGTTTCTACCGTAAACTAGCATATTGTTAACATGAATTAAGATATTTATGATTCTAAAATGGTTAACTTATTATTAGTATTGTGCGTCACGGTGGTGCAGTGGGTAGCAAAGACACCTCACAGCAGGAAGGTCACTAGTTCAAGCCTGGGCTGGGTCCGTTGGCATTTCTGTGTGGAGTTTGCATGCTCTTCACGTGTTTGTGTTCACGGGTTTCCTCCAGGTGCTCCAGTTTCCCCTACAATGCGCTACAAGTGAATGGAATAAGCTAAATAGCTAAGCTAAGTCCTGGTTTTCCAGGTTGGGGGTTGAGAGTTGGGCTAATGACCCACCTCGTAAAAATGAGATATTATGAAACACCAATATGGTGCGGCTAAACATCAACTTCGACATAACCGGCCCTGGGAGTAAGCATTTATTGATAGTAGCCTATTAATTAATTTGTTGCTAGCTTTTTTTAAACATTTATTAGCATGGTTAATGCATTGCTAACATGGTTTTAACATAGTTATTGTATTATTGGTAATTAGCATGTTGTGAAAATATAACATAGTTACCATCGTTTAAGCTTTATTTAATGTATTAGTCAATGTTTTTATGTCAACGTTCGAATCTAATCTATTATTGTTCAATTCAATCCAACTTCTAGTCCATCTTTCTTTCTGGCTTTAGCACTGTGTCCTAAACATATGTGACATGAAAACACACTATTGAAGATACATTATGCTTTTTTGTCTGATCAGTGCTCATAGATCATGAAAAATTCAGTCTCTTAGTTAAGGAAAAGTCAGAAAATTTGATGTTTTGTGCCTGGAGTCCCTAAAATGTGTATAACAGAGCATTTTCCGTTTTCAGATGCATGATCGATGTTGATGAGTGTGTGGACAGGCCGTGTTTCAATGATGGCCATTGTGTAAACACACATGGATCGTTTACCTGTTCCTGCATGATTGGATTCAGTGGAAGACTGTGTGAGATAGGCACAGAAGTAAGCAACCAACCTATATCTTCATCCTGGAACTCTTGGATTGGAGAACTGGTCGCAATACTGGCCTTCCTGGCAGTCATCTTTGTTGTGACATTACTCTTCTTAATAGTGTGGAAAGGTTCCTGTAAACGTATAAAGAGAGATAAAGACCTTGATAAGTACAAAGACATTGACTCTTACATTCAGAGGTTGAGTTTTTACAACCATGGCAAAAACAAATCCCGCTCTGACACCCCACCGCTGGTCCCCGTGCGACCCATATCCTACACACCCAGCGTTCCTGGAGAATGTCGAAACAACCGAGGCTCAGTGCCTGAGCTCAGTAACTTCACTGCAGATCCACTTTTTGGTCTTAGGAAGTCTGTGGCTGTGTGCAGTGTGGCCCCTAATTTGCCACATCGCAAAGCATCCTATTCTCACTCAGAAAATGACTCCATACAGCAGATGGACTGGGATGAGGAGTATGACGGTTAGTGCATGTTCTGACATTTTGCTATCCTAAATTGGCATGTTGGTAACACATTTCATAGCTCATTAGCAAGTTGTTAATATGGCATGAATTAGCATGTTGATAGCAGGTTTCTAACATACAGTAGCTCCCAAATTTCCAGCATTAATAAGTATAGCATGTTTCTAGAATGAACTAGCATATTCGCAACATGAATTAGGACATTGTTTGCATGATTCTAATATGATTAACATTTTGTAAGTATTATTACCCTTTTCGTAGCTTATTTTTAAGCATGCATTAGCATGGTTACCACATTGCAAACATGGTTCTAGCATGGTTATTGTATTGTTATCGCAAATTAGCATATTGTTAGCATGTTTCTTGTAAGCATGGATTGGCATATTACTAAGTTTCATAACATGAATAAGCTAATGGTTCTAACATAGTTATGAGATTGTAAGCATGTTAAAAGCATTTGCAACATTAATTAGCATTTTGCAATCATGGATCCCCTTGATGAACATGAATAAGCAGCGCACTGTTATTGTTTTGACAATTTCTAACTTAGCTTACAATTGTTTGCACGAAGTAGCATTTTCAAACATGAAAAGGCATATTGTTAACATGGATCAACATGTTAAAATTGTTACATTGTAACTTTGAAATGCTGTTTTTTTATATTCATTCTTCCAGAAAAAATACTAGACTTGACTTCCTGTTTAGCAATGGAGGATGACTATATTTCACTTTCTCGTGATAATAGAGGGCTGCAGTCCACATGCTCACTCCAGTCAGATGTCATGGATGACAACAGTAAGTTGCATTAAATAAAACACAAAAATCAGTTACTGCAACAATTACATCTTTGCTGTGTCTTGAATGAATTTAGCCCCAATATGGATTAAACTTGAGCACAAATTCTGAACAGATTCAAAAAGACAGGATTGTAAATGCTGAAATAATAAACAGTAATGTACTGTATAACTTAGAACCCATGCTTTGGTATTTTTATAGCACGTAGGTTTGACTTAACAATATCTTTAATGTTTACATGCACATCATTTTCTGATAAAGATCTATATATTCATTAATCTTTAATAACTAACCAATCAAATAATGTTTCACTCTAATATTATATTTTTTGTTGTGACTATATTCAAATGAAGCACTATGTATTATTTAATTTTATTTCATTTAGAAAAAATATATATTACAGTGAATTTTCTTTTCCTTTTTTTTTAATACAATATTACCGTTCTTTTAGATTTCTAGCAACTGTACACTGTAAAAAAGTGATTTTTAAACTCAAACTCGTAGCCTTAAATGAATAAGTAAACAAACTATGTGTATAATTATGAAAGTTAAGTGAATGGGTTTACTGATTTTATATTAAATTAAAAACAACGTGTTGCTATTAAGGCAAACGGTTTACTCACTTTTTTAAAGTAACTAATCACTTTTTACAGTGTAATATTGGTTTATGTAACTTTACCTTACATAACTGGAATACATAATTAGATTATGACCACAAAAAAAAAAAAAACATTAAAATATGCATATTAAATACCATTGCTAATTAATGACATTTTAATTGAATTTAATAGTATTCCTCCATTTTGTTTATCCTTATGGTGCTTATTATACTTTGATGAAATAGTCTTGTAGTAACTAAAGAGATTCAGGCTACATAATTTTTTCTGTTTAATGCAGAAGGGGTCAGATTTACTAACAACTTGTGCCAACGCAAAACCTCTGTTTGTCATTAAAAATATTGTCATGATTTACTAAAGACATCCAGTTAATGCTACAGCTAAAAAAATCAAGGACTTTATTCATTCCATATGCATTTGTATCAGTTTCCCTTTCAGACACTACATTTACGAAACACAGTTACTAGATAACTCTGACAAATCAACAGCTTTTCTTATTTGTGATCATTCACAGAACATTTTGCTCTAATTGGCATTTTGGAAACACTGTGCTCCTGTCCTAAGTCACCCTGTTATGTAAATCTGGCCCATGGTCTTTTCTAGAGATGTCTGCACAGTAAGTGCAAAGACTGATTTAATGACTGTTGTGTATATTTCTGTTGCCTTTTACAAGCTTTCAGAGTGATCCACCCTGTCAAAACATAGATTGACATGGTGAGCAAAAGGTATACAGTATATTTCATCTCACTTCATGTTAGTAGTTTCTAATTAGTCATCAGTCTGTGTGTTTCTCTATTACATCTCACTTCAGCTCATTTTCTTACTGTTCCAACTTCACATGGCGATTCATTGTGCCATTTGAACCAGTATTGAAAACATGTCTTTCTTGTTCCGTGACTGGTCAAAACAATTTCTTTGCTTTGGTACCTTGGAAACACAATAGTTGATGTGTTTTGTTGTTTATCAGACCATTCATTCATGCTCTATTGCTTTAGCAAGCTTGGTAACACCGAGCAGCTGTGTGAATTTGATAAGTCCTCGTGAATTGGCTGTAACAATTTTGGATCAAATGCACTTGCATCGATCTCAAGGGCACTTTGATGTTTAATCTTCTTTAACTCTGAGGAGTTATAACAAGTTCTTTCAAACCAGTGCACTCAGATCTTTCACACTGTCTGAGATTAATGAGCCTCTGAGCTATCAAAGCATGCCATCATCTGAAGATACATGTGAGCTTTCCTAAAATGTGTGTGTTGTGGAACTGCTTCTTGTTTTTGTTGTGAATGCGCACGATGTGATGATATACATTACCTTTAAGTTCAAGCATCTTCACAAGTATTTTTTTGTTTTAATTTAATTTAATGCATAAAATTATGCATTTAATAGATCAAAAGCAACCAGTAATCATAATGAGGTTAGTAATGCTTTTCCTTTTAACTTTCTATTCATCAACGAATTCTAAATATAAAAAAACAGTTTTACAAAAAATATTATGCAGATTGCTTCTACTTAATTCTAACACATTCTACATTCTAACTTAGCAAAAAAGTAAGAATGACACTACTAGAGTGATGGCTTAGAAAAATTCAAATGTGCATTACACTAATAAGTTGTATTTTATATATATATATATATATATATATATATATATATATATATATATATATATATATATATATATATATATATATGCAGTAGGTAGTCCTGTCGCCTTACAGCAAGAAGGTTTCTGGGTCGCTGGTTCGAACCTCCGCTCAGTTGGCGTTTCTGTGTGGAGTTTGCATGTTTCCTCCGGGTGCTCCAGTTCAAAGACATATGGTAGAGGTGAATTGGGTAGGCTAAATTGTCTGTGGTGTGTGTGTGTGTGTGTGTGTGTGTGTGTGTGTGTGTGTGTGTGTGTGTGTGTGTGTGTGTGTGTGTGTGGATGTTTCCCAGAGATGGGTTGTGGCTGGAAGGGCATCCGCTGCGTAAAAACTTGTTGGATAAGTTGGCAGTTCATTCCGCTGTGGCGACCCCGGATTAATAAATTATAATATATTTTTTTAATTAATTAATATTTCAATTTTTTATTATTATTATTATTGTATTATTTTTTATCCACCGACACTCTGTTGTGAATGTATGGTATGCAGATAAGGGTATAGTTCTAAATGCAGCTTTATTTAGAATGGTCAGGCAGGCAGGGATCGAAAATTAGAATAAAGTTTAGTAGACAATCCAAATGTGTAATCCAAAAACAGAACAAAGGTTCAGGGCAGGCAGCAAAGAATCAGAAACACAATAAAAAGTCTAAAGTTGAAAACACGGGAAACAAAAAAAAAAAAAAACAAGTAAAACCGCTTACACAATGACAGCAACAGCCAAACAATACTAGCAATGTGAAAGAGAAACCTAGAGGTACATATAGTCCGTATAATCAGAGATGATGAGTTTAAATGGCTGTCAGCTGAGGCAGGAGTGATTAGCGCAAAGAGTTCTGGGAGATGTATGTCATTAGGAGGTAACCTCCAATAGAGAAAACACCACTGGTGGTTCCAATGGATTACAGGTAGTAATCGCCAGTGGAGACAAAACTCCGCTGGCGATTAAACACTCGTTTTTCTCATGATAAATACAATTCAATTGAATCTCTAATAAATGTAACTGCGCTCCAACAAAAAAATTTCTAGCTTGTTCAAACCAATTATTTAAAATGAACTGAATTAACACAACTATTGAAATTTTGTTAATAGGACAACTTAATTGTTTTATGTTCAATCCACTGAAATTTAAGTTAATTTTATCGATTTGTGTTGGGACAATATGAATGAATTGTGTGAAAACCTCGTTTTTCACAGTGTGTATAATGTCTTACTCCAACAGGCTATTACTGGGATACCTCAGATTGGCAGCAGAATATCTACTCTCCTGGAATTCAAGGTTTTCTGCAGTATGAGTTTGTGCAGATGACTTCACCGATACACACCTCTCCAGAAACTGTCCACATGGACTTCACCACTGTTGGCGAAGACATCGAGACTTTCCTGCCATTAACAACTCTCCTACCTAATTCTGACCAGTTTACCAGGCCAGAGGGCCACCATGCAATCCACCCAACAGTGAGGTCAAACTTTATGACCTCCAGTCAACATCCCAGCCCTGACTCCCCAGAGTCCGTCCAAACAACCGCAGAGATGCTTCAAGACCAACATATAAGGTCCTCTGAGACTGTGGATTTCTTGGAAAGTCCTGTTTGAGACCCACACAACTCTAAACTTCATTCCCCAGTGGTTAGAAATCCAATTTTATGGTTAGTGACCATGGAAAACTTCATGAAGATCTGGTTGGCAACACTACCAGAGGCGGAGGTGTGACTGCAGTGGGTTTCTGTACTATAATTCGAAACCACCATTAAACTTTCATGCAGAATCGTCTGTCTTTTGTCATCAAGTCAAATCTTGTCAAATAGGATACTGTAAGTCACCCCACATGCAATCGCAGATTTCTTCAGTGTTTCAAACTGAATAAATCTGCCTCAGAAAGGAACAGATCGATGATGGCTGCCATAATGAAGGGTCAATCCAAACTGAAATCCTCAAACTGAACATTTCTTTTGGCCCTTCTTAATGAAGATTTTTTTGAAGGGTACATTCATGGGATGCTGGTGATTTCTATGACTCTTTGGTGTGTTTAATTTGTGGCACCAAGAATACAAGATAATACAGAAATGTATTGAAGGTTAACAGTTTTTTAGTCCTAACACCCTTCCTCCTCTAACTCTAAAGGGAAAAACAATCCTGCTCCAGAAATGACATTGTCCTGCAGAGTTTAAACCGTTGAAAAATTACCTGCCTTTATTCATAATGAAGCACATTCTAAATACAGGATACAGGATAAATCTGCTTCCTAAGGGCACAGAAAATTAAACATTCAATACATACCGAAGTGTATAAAACTGTCCACTTTGTATCGTCCTTTGTAATGAAGGATTTTATAGTAAACTGTACCGGACAAAGGTGACACCACAATATTATACTAAACTATACAGTGGTCATCCAGGATGTAGTTTGAACCTACAGTACCTGGACTGGGCATTAGAATGCTCCATTCAATGCAGGCTTGTGTTTCCGTTGGAATAAATCCACCTCTGAAAGGCAGTGTACACAATTTTGTCCAAAGCAAACTCAGACTTGACAGCTTTGAGGGGCCTTTTTTGAATGAAGGATTTTGAAGGGTACAAGGAATGGGACACTGTTAGCTCCCATGATTTAGCATATATCTGATGTGATCATGATTGCATTCCAATGGTATACTTTACACCCTTCATCCCTGAATCTCACTTTGCAAAGTAAACCTTTTGACGGTATTTGGCCAATGGTGTCGAATCCTGATCCTGTTCAATGTCTTGCAGCTCCATATAACTTCAAAACACTTTCTAGAAGTTTCTAGTGAATCCGAAAACCTTGATTAAGGCATGTTTAATCAGGGTTGGAGCTGTGAAGGACAGTGGGATTCAGAAGATCATTTGGACACAACAGGCTTTGATTTGGGATGAACAAGATGAGTTTTTTTTTGGTCCCCTAGACCATTCATATTTAAAAGCTCATTCCTTCAAAGGGATTAGGGCCTATGTAATATCCCTTTTCAATGAAACACAGCCTTACTTTGAAGGTGCATTTAGTAATTTGTTTGTTTAAAATACACTGAGAGTGTTCTTGTACTTTATTCCAAGACCAAGTGGTGTGGATGAAGTAATAACACACATTATTTTTTTATTTTGTATAAATCAGTCATAATATATAGTTCTCAGCATAAATGAGTACACCCATTGGAAAATATATGTTTTATTCATTTCTAAGCAACTTTAGCCCATAGTGTTGGGGGCATTTAAACAAAACAGTTTTATTAAACAGTTATATCCATTAAATGGTCAGCTAATATCTTTAGGAATAAATTCATTTAAATAATTTATAATAAATTAAAATGATTTATTGCAAAAACAAATTACAAACTACAGAATTGGGTTGTTTCTGGTTGATTATTCCTGTTTATAAAAAAACTTAATATTTTTCTTCAACATATTGATTTGACTGTACTTTTCTTGGACCGAGATCTTAAGTTATTTTGTTTAAAATAAAATATTAAACATATAATAAAATATATAATAAATAAAAAAAATCCCATTTTGGCTACTGACTAATCTAATGTACAATTGAGGTCAGAATTATTAGCCCCCCTCTTATTTTGATTTTCTTTTTAAAATATTTTCTAAACGATGTTTAACAGAGCAAGGCAATTTTCATAGTATTTTCACAGTTTGTCTAATAATATATATTTTTTTTTCCTGAAAAAAAAAAATCGTATTTTTTATTTCGGCTAGAATAAAAGCGTTTTGTTTTTTTTTTAAACACCATTTTAAAATTACTAGTTCCTTTAAGTTATAATTTTTTGGTAGACTACAGAACAAACCATTGTTGTACAATAACTTGCCTAATTACCCTAACCTGCCTAGTTGACCTAATTAACCTAGTTAAGCCTTTAAATGTCACTTTAAGCTGTATAAAAGTCCCTTGAAAAAATCTAGTCAAATGTTATTTACTGTCATCATGGCAAATACAAAAGTAATCAGTTATTGGTAATCAGTTATTAAAACTATTATGTTTAGAAATGTGTTGAAAAAAATCTTAAACAGAAATTGGGGAAAAAATAGACAGAGGGGCTAGTAATTCAAGGGGGCTAATAATTCTGACTTCAACTGTATATACACATTTATGTATAATATACATACTCATTTATGCTGAGCACTGGATATATATGGTTTAAGGTCTGAGAATTGTACAGGTGTGTAGTTTCTTGTAATATGAGGTAATCTGGGGTAATCAGAGACCAAATTGATGTTACTTTTTTAAATTTTAATGCCTACAGTATTACTGTCACTAAAAAAGAAAAAAGAAAAATTTATTTGTCTTCGATTTTTTTTACGCATTGACAGGTCTGCATTGTCTGTTAAATGTGGTGTTTGTTATGCTACCCTTGTCGAAGTGATTTTTAAATTGTTGATGTGTATGTACAAAAATGAAAATATTTTTTAAGACAATGCATTGTGTCTCATCTATGCATTTATATTGTGTGCTTGTTTGCCTTGTTTTGAGGCAGTAAAGAACGAGATAGCATCAGGCAACAGAAAAAAAAAAAATATGAGAAACAAACAACATCTCTATATCCTTCACTGTTCTCCTGCTGCTTAAACCCCTCATTTGCAATCTAAAACTCTCATTAGGAGAGTTAAAAGTTTTCTGAAGCTGTGCAGTTGCATTTGCAAAGGTTGATGATCCAGGTAACAGCAGATGTTCTCAGTAGGGTCGTTATGGTAATAATGATAAGAAGATCATCTGCTGGTGCTCTTTTTCAATAATTAGGAGCATTTTACTCATTAGGAATGTAGGGCATGATTATGACTAACAAAAGGTGAACAACTGATCAACTTTTACATCTAAAAGTACAACTGTATGAGAGCAGATGAATTCATTTTGTCTGAAATCATTTCAGGGTTAAGTTTATGCTATTTATTAACTTTTTTTCTGCAAAGAAGTTCTACATTTAAACTAATTTACTTATCTGAAAATGATCAAGGGATACAATTATTTCCATGTTACACACTCAACAGAACAACAGAGGGCAGCACACTCCAATAAAGTCAGATTATCTGCATGACTGATGGTCCACTTATAATCAAGACTTAATACAGCTTTATTTGAATGCACATCTCAAAAATATTCCTATAATATATATTTCATTTAAAAAATATTGCTGATAGCCAATTGATGCTCCGGTAATTGTGGGAAATGTAATAATAATTCCCACAGCAGTACACTTGAATGAACACAGGTCTACTGCATGTCTTACAAATAGTTGTATGAGAGCGACAGCACTTAAATGCTTTGACGAGTAGTGACAGAGGCCTGAGGCGAGGAACGGGACATGTGTGTGTAACACAGTGTGACAGGTTGACCTTGCCGTGATACAGTCATGTGCTTCTGTCATCGTTTGGTCACTCTGATCCTTGATGAACAACAAATGCATTAACAGTCTCTGTGAATGAGTGTGTTGGGATCTATACATGTTTTATTTGTATGTATGTATGTATATATATCTATATAATGGAGCTTGATGACATTTCTTCAAATTTAACACCTTGTGCAATAGTGTAATCCAAATTGCATTGCAATTGCAAAATATTACATATTGTGACTATCCTAGATGCTGCAACTTAGACAAAATGTAACATGTGAGTGTGTGCCCACTTATTCATCATTATCATTTTTGACTCCCAACAAGTGACAATTGGTAGTGGCTTATATTATAGGAATTGCCAAGAACAACAATTTCTAAAAATCTAATTCTACTGAAGAAAAAGTCACCACTATAAAATAGCTCATCATTAACAATAACAGCTAATTGTCCTATCTCTTTTAGTGTCTAAATGTTTTGCACCAGTGCACTCATATAACCCAATGAAGACAGAAGAGAAGACATGTGTGCTTATAATAGATGACTGAATTTCAAATGTCAACAGATGGAAACTCTTTGCTAAACAAGAGGTGCATGAAAGGGATTTCTATATATATCTATACTCTTAGTGACACATATAATGCAATGCATACAATCAATGTCATTCTTAAATATTTGGTAAATGTTGAAGAGCAGCTGTAACAGACTGTTAACAGAATAGCAACCGTCACTGTTACAGTAACTGTTAGAATTACACAAACCTGTATATGAAGTTTTAGACAGATTCTTATTCTTATTCAGCCCAGGAGCCATGTGAAGCAATTCTTCTATTAAGTATGGATGAGTTTTATTGGACTTGTTTTCAACTCAGGGTCATTGTGGATATGTACCCCTGTATACATTTCTGGAGAGCACGAAATATGTCTAGGAGGGATGTTTTATTGCAGTTTTTGATTCCACAAATCCACCAAAGGCTGCTGTTTATGCTTTATCAGACCTCAAATTTCTCAAGCAAATGGCATTTGTGCCTGCTCTTCTTGCGTGAATCCACCAGAGGCCGCTGTTGACTAACTGAACGACCAACCGACCAATCCACATACCCACCCCATTCCCTAAGTCCAACTAATAGTGTTTCCAAAAGCAAAGATTGACCTCCCTTCCACCTTTTCTAAACCCATCCAATAGTGTTTTCAAAAGAAATCCAGACAAAGAAAAGCCCCCTCGGCCTGATTTTTACCCCTTTTACAGATCTTACCACATTTTCACCCTGTTATTCATGCTATTATTTCTTTTTTTGTTTTATCTTTTTTCTGGAACCATTCTTTGTTGGACTTTTCATCGCGGCCAACTTCGCTCCACCTCCCAAGTCCTACAACGTACGGGGCAAGCCACTGGGCAAACTTGTAACAGGAGAAAAGCCATCCACACAGAGATAAGTGATCAGCTGCTAGCACGAAAAGAAACCGAAACCGTCTGCGCTCTCATACCACCCCATAGCATTCATTTTAAAGACGAAATGCAGCCAGACATACCTTTGACTACATAATTCGCTCTCTCCAAAAATGTAGGCAGGGGTACGTTTTCACTATGATCTTGTGTGTCTTGTTTAGGACAGATAAAAAGAAAACATCTGAAAGTTTGATAGTGAGAGATGGCTTCTTCTTTTTTAATAACTTGACCAAAATAAAAATAAGTTGACCAAATGAAGAAAGACATACAGTATATGGTGTCTCTTTGTAGGGTGAACTAGCTCTTTAAGTTCTTTTTGAATACATGACCATTTTTTTTTTTACTCTGAAAATAATTACATCAATGGGTTAAATCCAAATTTCAACTTAAACCAGTTAAACTGACTTTAAAATTAAGTTAAATTTGTATAACTTAACAAATAAGTTTAAAATGTATAAACTTAATGTGTTAGTTCACCCAAAAATAAAAAAAAAATTATATAATTATATACTCACACTCATGTCATTCTAAACCCGTGAGGACTTCGCTTCACATCATAATACAAATTAAAATATTTTAGGTTAAACCGGAGAGCTCCCTCATCCTCCATGAACAGCAAGGTTCCCGACTCATTCAAAGTTCAGAAATATACCAAAAACAATCCTTAAAACAAACCATATGCCTGTGGTGGATCAACCAGAAGATTTACATGCTACTGTTTGAGAATACTTTTGTGTGGACATGAAACAACAAAAATGATTTTGTTCAGCAGTTTGTTCTCTTCAGTGTCAATATTGGGTGCATGTCCATGAGTTGTGCTTGGTCATATTATAAATGATCCACCTGTGCTTTATATTAAACAGAGGATGTGATTGGGCATCCTGAATGACACAATGAGGAGTAATTAAATAAATAAATGGTATAAAATGACAAAAAAAATATACTGTGATGATTTTTTGATTATATAATATCTTTCAATTCTAGTTTTAAATGAATGAAAAAAGAATTACTTTTAAAAAAATATTGTTATAAAAAGAGAAGGATCGGGCAAGGACTATTTTAAAATGTAGAATTAAAAAAATCTTAAATAAAAGCAAAATGCATACTTCAATTGGAAAGACAATAAGTTTGGGTCTAAAACACCCTATTATTTAAAACGATCTTTTTAATCATATGTTGATTTTGTAACATTTGTAGTTTTGCTTTTGTTATAATCCTCAGAAATATCACACACACACACACACGCACACGCACACACACACACACACACACACACACACACACACACACACACACACACACACACACACACACGCGCGCGCGCGCATATAAAGTTCAATTAAACATGTTA